TCATAGCGAATGGGTGTGGTCGACTGCCAAGAAAATGTGCCACCGAAGGAAAATTGCATGGCCCCCAACGTTAGACACTTCACATGTGATGGCCGCCCCGATCACTAAGATAATGAACAGTAAAGGAAACCCGAGTAAAGGAGAAACCAGACTGTACCAAATAGTAATCCCCGAGTGCGCGTGGCAAATCTGGAAGGCCAGATGCCGGAGAGTCATTGACCCCGACCACCCGCGAACCACTCCGAGCGAAATCAGAAACGCCCTCCGAGCCGGTCTCAACGACAAACTCCAACAAGATATTGCCCTGACAAATCGTAAGAAATACGGCCGAAAGGCCCTGCCGGCCAAGCTAGTCCTGCTCACCTGGAGCGGGAACCTCCATGAAGAAGGGAAACTGCCGGACAACTGGCTTAACAGCCCCGGGGTTTTAGTGGGTATACCGGACCCCCCATGACCGGGGCCGGGAGTCCCACACAGCGCCGATAACCGGCCAGTGCGCAACGCATTTCCCCGCGGTGGCAGACCGGCACAGACCACTCTATGGGATCCTATCTCCCTACACAAACCCCAAACACATGACCATGTATCGCGAAAGCTACTGGGGTTCCACCAAAAAAAAAAAAAAAAAAAAAAAAAAGGATAGGGAGAAAAGGTCGGCCGCGCAGTGGGTGGTGAACACTCAAGTAGAGGCTGCGCAGTTCACAGCCATGAGATTGCCGCAAGGCGCAATTCATCCCATTGCGCACTTATTGGAAAGTCTTGCGGCAGATTCCATCCTCTTATGCAGAATCAACTGAGAAATCGTTGCTGACACCCATCTATCTTGGTTCAGCTCTAGGTGAGATTTGACGCAAAGTCCGGCAACAGGAACGAAGATCCTTGGATCCTGCAGGAAGGCCAGCACCAGGAGCAGATGGACTATTGCATGTTTATGGTGATGCACCCCGGAAGTAACAAGAACATAGCGGAATGGGAGTATTTGGCATTACCACGGCGGTTAACGACCTTATCGTGTCACTGTGACCCGAACGAAGCACCTAAGTGGTTTTGCAATGGTGCCCTAACACTGGCGAGCGAATTTGAATGCTCATTCCCAGATCAGGGCTCTAAGTGTGGACCTCGGTCGGTTGTACTGAATTTGAACACACCGCCGAACCTCGCTACCGAAAACTTTGTCTATGGGCTCACCACGGAACGATGATGTCGAAGTAGAATATAAGATCACCCCTACAGCGAGGATGAGCCTTCACTTGAACAAGTGGGTCAGAATGGAGGGACTGAGTAACACGCCTGGCTCTGTTCCAAAGTACATTACCTAATTCCCAGTGACCAACAATCTTCGGATCCAGCTCGATTAAACTGTCGGGGCACTCAAAGCAATCGAACTGCAGCCCAGGTTGATTTCCTTGTCACGAGTCATGATCGTATGCAACAAGCCGAAAACTCACTTTACAAATACAAACGACTGTCAATAGGCAGGATCCCAGCCTCTACTAAAGGATTGTCAACCACGCCGCAGTCCAACCCAAGAACCACCTATCACCCCCGAAGCTTCTTTACATAAGTCCGAAACCTTACGAGATAGGATAACTACTTCCTCGGTAAGATCCCACGTTGGCTCGATTGCAATCGCCAAATAATTCCTGCATCTTCTACACCGTTAATTATCATAGTTTTTTCGACACGCAATTGGAGAACATTCGACTGTTCATGAACCTCGGGGATGGGTTGCGTTGCAAATTTTATTCGCTCCTGTCTCTTGCGCATGTCCGGTAACAGGCGGAAGTGGGCCGCGGGCTAGTTGAGATCGCCGACATTGATCAACACCGAACGGTCACTCGGTTCGATCGCGATCCACTTTGTCATTTAGCATGGGTCAGGTTCATCCATGGCAAGCACCGAATTGCTACCGGGAATACCAAGGAAGCATGACCGTCTTGACCATGATATGAAGCCTATCAGACTTGGCACTCTCGCTGGCCGGTGGGCGCTACCAAGCTGTTACTATGGTTTCAGATGATGGATCGTTAATGGCACGAGTTCCACAAGATGTTGGCAGGGAACGGCACTCATGTTTGATATATTCGACCGCTTGCCTCTCCTTATGTTCCCACCGTCCCCCAGGATAGTTGTTCAGTGATCACTCATCGTCACACGATCAGTTTCTCGCCCGGAGCACGACATATTGGCGTTTTCGACGGGGCCAACGCCCTCACCTGGTCAACCCAGTCGCGCGATCTCATCGCACACTATCGCGTTACACGTTTTTCAACATGGACTCTCAATCCTGGAATTGAGCCCCCTCTCTCATACTCCGTCCCTAAACCCATATTCTCTCAACTCATTCTTCCTTCGAGGGGCAGCATGGTCCAACAGACCAAGAGCACGACTTAGATGAGTCCTGGATCAGGCGTTCATTTTACGACCTCCCACCAAACGCAAAAAAGCCCCGCCGAAGCCCATTCATCTGCAGCAGGAAGAGGGATGCGATTACCGGGATAAAGGTTTCCAAAGGTCGGACATATGGTCTAATAGTGGATGGGTGCTCGGACTCCCAAAAACTGCGCCTGTAAACTGTTCGCCAGCAGTGCGCGTGTGCCGGTAGCCTGGTATGGCGATCGAGTGCTGGTAGGCCGACATGGTAGTTGAGCGCCATATGAGACTTTGTATGTACCTACCTCTATCATCCTAGGTCCAGCAGGGATGGGACTCGGTTTCTGCTCCAGGGTCGAATGAAACCTTTAATTGTCGTTGATATCAGCCGAGTTATCTAGTGTATCCGCATAAGCTTGTTGAGTCTGACTCTTTCCACACTGGTTCCGTGTCCCATGGAGAACTAAATTTGTGCATCACTACGCGTAAAATTATCTGTAATCAACATCTACAATAATTACGATGAGCACGCAGTATGATGAAATGTAGCGTAATTGAACCGTTTATGGAAAGTAACCAGTAGAAGGAGCCTGTAGCCACCACTCCGTCATTCAAGGACAGTTGCCACAATTCGTGTCAAACACACACCTCTAGGACGGAGATTGCATCGTGTGTGGGCGGACGAATATGAACGCAAGACTGGTTTAGCATGGTACATGAGTGGAGAACCAGCACCGAGGGGCGGCTATGGCAGAAGTTACAACAGGGGAGCGGGTGAACAGATGGTTTAAATGAATATGAGCCATGACAGGATGAAGGTGAAAGTATCCTGCTGATTAGTAGAATCCTGAGTGGTGGAAGAATTTTGCTTCTTGGCAGTAGGAATTGTCCTTGGCGCGTTGATACGGAAGTAAGTAAGCCCAGAAATGCAGGTATACAACATTATCAAGAGTCGACATGGGACGGATACATGACGAGAGGAACAAGAGCGTTCCATACTTGTTATAAAGGTTTGTGAGGCTACCCCACGACCTTCTGATGTAACCCAACGGAGAAGTTGCTTCAGAGTTAATGTTGACGCCAGATGAACACGCTGTAATATGGCAAAACGTCGGAACGCATATCAACTCCTGAGACAGGTGCACATCCCGATTAGCGTCCCTAAGACTGTTCTCATGCCGTGTTTGTCTGGGTTGACAAGAAGTGGAAAAATCCCTCAAAACTGTTCGATGACACTATGGTGAAATTGAATCTAGCAACGAAATCCTGTTCTCGTTTCAGGGACAGCAGTAAAGGCGACCCGGCCAGAAAGTGGGTGGTACAGGGTAGCGATTCAGGCCGATACCCTAGTCTGCGGGGGAAGAGTTGTTACTGTGGGGATTAGCTCGCATCTCCAGTCCGCACTGTCAAGCGATCAGCTCAGGCTTTCGCTAAGGTAGTTGATGAATTATGACTTTGAATACGGCACCCAGGTGTCTGTGCTACGATTTTCCACCTCCCCCAGCTCATCAGGAGTGAGGGACCGTGGTCCATCAGACCAACGCGTCAACTTTATAGCAGAAAGGTACGAGGATGGTTTTCGGCGTGAATTGGTTCAAGACAATGAGAAGAATACAAGGATCAGATTTGAGGCTGCGTCTGACGAAACGCGAGCACCTCACGACGATCCTTCAGGGAAACGCAAGATCGACGCGTGTCCAAGTTTCGGTGATGTTCCAGTCAATGTAAGAGGACAGCATGCACACTTCTGAGGATTGTGGTGCGTAGCATTATGACCGGAAAAAGAAACTTGTAGCAAAATGCGACGAAACATGTATTGCAATAGGCCAGTGCAAGAAGGTCGTCTATGCCTAATAGTGACTGAAGCGCCAAGCAGTAATTGACTGGGAAACGAAAGAAACCAACAAGAATTTGAAGAAATGGAGATCGAAGATGTGCCAGGGGGGTCCGAGTAAACCTCCGGGCCCAGAGCTGATCTTCATGGGGGGTGCTGCGTATCAGAGCAACATCCGGAACTCCGGGGAGAAGCCTTTCAGTCTATCTGCCAAACTGTACTGGTCGAAACTTTTGTAGAAGCCAGATAACAATTCAAAATCGGGAACCAAATTCTGGACAGATTCGTGATCAAGAAATGCATTTGATGGCCTGATACTCGGCTAACTCCGCGGGAAGGTTGCAGCTGTGCGGAATATGAACACCTTCGCGTCTGCTAGATGCAGCAGCCCTAACTCGTCACTCCCCCTATATAAGCTCAGCATCGAGCTTGTCTCCATGATTCTTACCTGCTGCTGTGACACCTTATGCCGTACAGTTGGAAGAGACTGCTGAGGTCCCTTCTTGACTGTCACATCGGTATCCATTAGGCTCCGTAATGCGGCAATTGAAACTCCTGCGTTGTGGTTTCAGATCTTCATCATGCCAGGCCGCACTGATAAAGCGAGTTGCCTCAATTCGCTCAATATCGCCAAGCTGTTTTTTCAGCGTGCAAAGAAGAAGACAACCATTTTTATTTGCCTCCCACCCCCCTTCCCGGGGGACCAGATCCCTGTATCCACATTCCAGGAAGCTATTGGTCCTGCGTTAGAGACATGCGAGATTTCACCCTGCTCACGTCACGACAAGAATGCATGAACGCTATTTTCCCTCTTCCCGGGAAGCTCCGGAATTTGAAGAAGCTGAAGGTGTTTGGCGTCGACCACTGTTGGGACGGTCATCTCTTTGAAGAGGATGATCCTGAAGTTCGGCTTGACACATTGGAAATCCGAACACCAATCAATGAACTGAGCGCTCTTTCAGAGTTCCGCAAGTCTATGGCATATTCAATTCGCACTTGCACGCTCGATGGCATGGTAGACTCCTTGTATGCGTGTACCGGGTTCTTCAATAACACCATCAATATTAAACACTCGGGATTAGGGGATAGATTTTTGCTCACATGCCATCACCAATACGTCGCCCTCACCCCTGTGACACTGCTAGCACTCACCAGCGTCGAACTTGGCTCCTCTTCACACAGGTTTTTCTTTGAATGTTTATCTTGCCCTTCGCTTCGCCACCTCTCTCTTCAAACAGATCGCCATCCTCATGACCTGACACCGCGCCCACCGCATTGGTCACAGATGGAGATGGACCACCTCTCTGCACTCTCTCGGTATCAGCCAGTACTTTTCTGAGCGCCATCCCTGCCCTCACAATGATCTTCATATGCATGAATGTTGTCATGTTAGAGTGCCAGACAACCTGCGAGGCGCTCAACAAATTACTTGATTTTATTGGAGGTGTCCTCATTCTACCTGGCAGAGGGCGGCAGGGAGCTTTCGAACGGCTATCGTACTTCCGGATCAGTTATGATGGCCGGCCGCTTGACGACGCTCAGACTATGGTGGCAGCAAACTGGATCGAACGCATCTTGACTCACAAACCCCACTTACGTGTAGATTATTACGACACAAACATCAATGAGCCTTTTAGTGAGATGCCTTTTGCGGGACTCGAGACATCCTTCCGAGGCTTTGGTGTAGAAAGTGTGGAGAAATTATACGACGAGTCATTAGCTGCGGAAAAAGCTGGGGTTGGGGAGCAGCGTTAGGACGTAGGAACCCGATGAGCTGCTGTGTGAGCGATATTTCTATTTCTATTGCTGTTCTCCGTCGCGGGTGAGTACAGATTTTGCCTTGTTCTTCCCCATGATCCCGCCAAGCACGGCTATGGACATTCAGACAGCTGTGACACTGACTCGCGATTTCCTTTTGAAGTTGTTATGGCTGCTGACGACTGATGCACTGTCTCTGATCACAGGATTTCACGTCGTATAACTTGTCTCCAGCGGGAAGCGCTTCAAGATCTCTGATAAGACAAGTTCTGACGAAAGAATACATTGTCCTCACAGAAGCTCGCTGTCACCACGATACCTTCAGCGGTATTGAAGCATTTTGGGCACACCCGTGTCACGATGTTGACCAAGGGCGCGTCCCACGCAGTGCATTTCCGCAGTGCCTGTTGCTCTTTGGAGTTGGCTCCCAATGCCATCTTGTGTTAGGATAAGGTCTCTTGGCATAGCAGTTGCGCAGGCAGCTTCACACAGGTACCGAGATTGGGTTGATGAAAGATACAAGATGCAGGGAGATGAGGATGGATGTCAAAGAGAGCTACACACAATAGGAGGAATCCTTGATGGAACCTCAACGAGCGGGCCTGGATTCTTCCAGGGATGAAGTCATGTGACTAGCGCAAGCGCTCAAAGCGCCCTCGGGAGGACGGCTGCTCAAAGCACCTATCCGTGCTTTAAGGATGGTCCCCTCCCCTAGGTGGCTTTTTCGGCCGGAATGTTTAATATCCCTACCCTCTGTGGGCACCTCGTTCTGGGAAGACTCTGCTCTCCCGAAATGCGCTCTCTTGCGTTTTGAACTGTATCATCTGGCCCCTGGGGATTTAATTGGACGCAGCAATTTCCTGCGATCGGTGATCGGGAAATATTTGGCCCCATAACTTAGGCGGCACCCCTGACAGTCACAATCCCTGAGATTAGACATTCGCAACATCGGCCCTTGTACAATTACTCACTTCTGTCACAATATACAATTGTCGAGTGAGAATAATGGATTAAGTCCCTGGTGACTATAATTCCGCTGAATTGTACTTCCCAGATTTGCTCCCTAAGTACTTTGTCTCTGGCCTTGTCAGATTCCTACCCAAGAGACTCCTATTCATTGGCAACCAAGTTATTTGATGCCCTAACAGTGGACCTCAAGGGTCACCTAAATTGACGTTGATGAAACGCTTTGCAAGCGGATCGCCGGAACACCCCTTACTCCCTGGATTCAGGATGCATGCTTTGGGAGCCTTTTGTTCGAAGGGCCATTTGTTTATATCGAAGGCAGGTAGACCACTTGCCGGGCTTTGCGAACATCTTAAAAACTCCGACCCACCACTGAGGCAACCCTCATCACCCTAAACTTCGACATGTTTGAGCAATTTTTCGATTTCTTTCGAGGGGCGGAGGACACATTTGTTTTCGGAGAAGACCTCGGCATGGCCAACTCCACCATTCCTCCTCCATTGCCTGACACGTATGGGAGTTCATCGCTCAAAAAAACGATGGCTTGCTGAGTTACTTCTGGATAGGACACACGGCCTCCTTTTCCCAAAATACGAAGATATCATCATCCCAGAGCAATCAGAATAGTAAGCCAGAAACCGTCCTTGTTTCGTCGTAGCCAACTCTTAAGTGCGTTACAACATTAGTCCACCTACTCTTTGGGACTTTTACTCCAATACAATGTACGCAAGAAATGCCTTCATCTGCACGGAGCTGTGTGCTAAATTTCGTTGTTACCAGACTACCGGATGCACTATATTTATTCTCAGGCGCGATGTCGATGGAACAAAACGAAGGTAGGAGGCTCTTGGGATGACAGTCACGAATCATTGTCAATGCTCTCCACCCCCTTAGGCAGCAGTTCCGGTCTGGTGCAAAACACACAACCAGAATACCTTGAAGACCGTGATGCTGAGGGTGAGCCAGATCCTTGGTATGAGCTGTCATGCTCCGTGCCCGCGCCCATTCCATTGTCCCAAGGGACCCAAAAGACCCCAGTGACATCCTATGAGCGTTCAGACGCGAGCCTCCCAATTCCCTCCAGTTCGTCAACTCCTCCAGACAACATGCTGAACGGTCCTTCGCCAACTTTCTCCGACCTGCCTTCCATTCCTCGAGCGCTATATGCCTATGGTGTTAAAAGAGATGCGAGATCCAAAAAGGTTATGGGAATAAGCTCAAACGAACGCCGACCATGCCCCTTATGTTCTGATGATTTCCATAAATCGAGATCAACGTCGTCGTCGAAGGAAAACGATTGGTGGAGGCATCTCCAGCAGGTGCACCTCAAGAACGATGTGATCTCATATATTGCGAAAGGTCATCACATTGACATCATTGCACTCCTATTTTTCACAACTCTCCGATTTCGTTTTGAGGAGCATCATGATGAACGATGGTTCGAGCCAACCCGCGAAGAGTACAGCGAGATAAGGGCTTTCCACTCGGTGTACGGCGAAGACCGAACGAATGGACCAATCATCTTTACGATCGAGGGAGGAGAGGTGCGTTACCCTAGGTTAATGGCTCGGCTTGAATCTTTCGCCCCTTCCTGGTGGGGCCATTTCATCTGTCCATCGTGCGACACGCCGATAGGACGGGATCGGGCCAAAGATCGCCACCCTCCCGGCCATTGTAACGGGAGAGGCGAGGCTCTTCCCCCTCCAGAATTTACACCATGGCCGCTGCACCCTATAGCGATCGATGGACAGACTGCCAAACGCCCCCACGCCTCTCCAACTCTCGATAGTGATGATTACGCTCCCCCACGGAAGAAGCCGTGCAAGCGAAAGCGTGGGGATTGAACCTCAGCGTCACCGCAACATTCATTTCCCGTTGCCGCGCAAGGATCTCTCGAAAAGTACCTCTTAAAAGTTAAGCATAGAGCGAAGTATTCTCTTGGATATCAGTTGTGTAGAGTTTTTCATGATACTTCGTACTTGTTGCTGGAATCATGATCGATCGTACCAATAAGATCAGACAATGTTAATTTCTTATAACTTTGTAGCACTATAGTACTAGCTGTTTCATAAAATGTTTTGAATATGTAGCGCACCGCTATTTCGCTATCGAGTTGTCTCGCCAAGTGACAGGCTAAATAAGATAATGAAAACCGTAGTACGGCTTAATTGAAGGCAAACATCCCAGCAACGTATAGATGAATTAACTTATGTGTCACGTATATACTTGGAACTAAGCAATTAACATACAATGTTGAAATATAGTTATGTGTGGAATCAGACGAAATGTGATAACCAAGAACAAGCAGGGAAAGTTCTTAACCTGGCTTTTAAATAGCCCCCGATGGCGCATCGTATGGATCACGGTAGGGCGACGAATGGCTGACCATGCGACTCCTTTCATCATGATCGTGATCTTTCACTTCATCGCTGTAACCGAGAGGTCCAACGTGTTCACTGGCCGGAGGTGCACCGGGCACCTTCCCTCCTGTAAGGTCCGGGGCCGCGTACATGCTGCCGTAATGCACGTCCTTATCATCAAGTGAGGTTGGAACATACTCCCCCTTTCTCGGACCGGAGCGTCGCATGAAAAAGGCAAGTGCGCCCAGCGCAAGAACGAGCAGTAACCCCGTCACACCGAGGAGGATGGAAAGGATGGTTCGCGTATTCTTAAGCGATTCGAGCTCCGCCCAATCACCTCCAGATTTCGTCGAGTTATTCTCCCCCAGCGCTCCGCCCAGCAGACCCGTCTTTGTACCGCCCCCGTCAGCTCCCGACTCCTTGGCTTTCTGCTGGAAAGCCTGGAAGGTATGTCCATAAGACGGTGGATTCACTGCAAATACCATTCCAGCAGCGCAGTGCGATGACGGTACCTTCTGTCGGCAATAGAACCAAAGCGGATTATTACCTTGAGGTACAGTAAAAGTCGATTGGAGGAAGTTATTACTGGTTCCGACAAATTTGAAACCGGAGTCGAAACCTCCTTGCCAAGGAGAACATGGATTTTCGAATGACGACTGCGTCGCGGTGTGGTTCTTGGACACGAAAGTGAATCGAACTTGGTCGCCAGGTTTGGCATTCACGTAGGGGGGTGTATAAGTGAGTTGTCCGTCTTTGCCTACTGTCACATCGATCATCTTCCCTCCACCTCCGCCGCCTTCAGTCGCGATAGCCTTCGCCTTGAATGCATCAAAAGTATTTCCGCTACTCGGAGGATTGATCGCGAAAACCATCCCCTTCCCACAATGCGATACGGGAACCTTCTGTCGACAGTAGAACCAGAGTGGATTGTTGCCTTCAGGTACAGTGAAAGTCGATTGGAGGGGATGATTACTCGTTCCAACGAATTGGAAACCTGAGTCGAAGCCTCCTTGGAGAGGAGAACAAGGGCTATCGAACGAAGACTGCGACGCGGTGTGATTTTTAGAAACAAAGGTGAATCGGACCTGGTCCCCGGGGGATGCGTGGACGGAAGGTGGTGTGTAAGCGAGCTGACCATCTTTGCCCACCGTGACATCGATGATCTTTGCAGTTGTTTTTGCACCTCCCGTCGCAATAGCCTTCTGCCTGAAAGCATCGAACGAATGGTCCCCCCAGGGAGGAGGGTTAATGGCGAAGACCATGCCTTTCGCACAATGCCCAGTCTGGCGGCAGTAGAACCACAAAGGTTTGTCAGTTTGGGGCATGATGAAGGAGGCTTGGCGAGGAGCGGAACCACTAGCGACGGGCTGGAATCCGGTGTCAAATCCGGTGATGGTATGACCGTCGGGAGAGATTTGAGGCGAACAAGGTTGATCGAAAGAAGACTGAGTTGCCGTATGATTCTTCGAGACGAAAGTAAAACGAATCTCATCACCGGTTTTCGCTTGGACATGAGGCGGGGTATAGCTAAGTTGACCGTCCTTGCCCACGGTAACATCGATGACATTCCCAGTCACTCCAAGTTTGGAACCACCCCCTGCATCACCAGCCGTAGCAAGCGCCTTCTTCTTAAAATTATCGAAGGTTTCATCTCCACTGCTGGGAGGATTGATCGCGAACACCATGCCTTTTCCGCAGTGACCCGTCTGTCGGCAGTAGAACCATAATGGATCCTGCGTCTGGACGTGAAAGGAAACGGTCTTATCGACAGGATGGCTGGCGTCTATGGGCTGGAAGCCTGAGTCGAACCCTGGGTGCCGCCCATACAGGTTTGTAAGTCTCGAACATGGGAAGTCGAATGAAGATTGGGTCGCTTAGATGGCCAACCGACACCGATTAGACGAAATTCGAAGAGAGGAAACGGCACAAATCGCACCTGTATGGTTTTTGGCTTTGAATATGAACTCTACTATATCTCCGTTGTGCGCATGCTGCCGTGGGTGATGAGCGTCAGGAAAGTGCAACCACTGTGGCGACGCAGTGACCTGATACGCACAATATAAGGAGGATCATATCTAAGTTGGCCATCAGCTCCGACATCGACCTTCAGGGAGCAGGTGGTCAGCAATGCACACGAGTTGCTCTACGAGTCTTCGCCTACATAGTGCGTCTTTGTCGCGAGTGCCAAACCGAGAACGGCCAGTCCCGTGCAGGCGTAGATAAAATACTTCATCCACGTCCGGATTCGTAGGGGAACGCAAAGTGAGGATGGGTGTGGGCCAAGAAGCTAGTTTATAGGTTGCCCTGATCCAGGTCGCGATTGCCATTTGCAGGAATGTCCAATAACGCTGTGCATATAATTTCGGGGCCGAGGAGCACACGGCGATCAGCCACGAGAAAAGGCAGAGCTTTCTCGGGTTCAAGACCGGGGTACGAACCCCGCCTTGTGTCCGTGTCGGTCTCAGCGCCCTGACTACTGTGCCTCAAGTAATTAACAAGAAACATATTTATGACAGTTCAAATCCCTCCATACAGAGCAGCATGGAAAACGCAACGAATGCTGACCATAGGTGGAGAGGCGGGTACGGTTGCCGAGCAGGGCCAGGTCTAAGTTTGCATCCGACTCAAGCGCCGCGCGTCACGACCTCATCGCTACGCGTCTATACATAAGTCAATTTGCGTTTTAACGGCTCCAGCGCTGTTGCGGACATACTAGGCACCACACCAACACTTTTTCTCGCTTTTTCCGAGCGAAATTCATGCCTTACATACCTGCGCTTTGAACTCACCGCTACGCGTCTCTACAAAAGTTAACTGCGTTTTAAGCGACTCTGGCGCTGTTGTGGACATACTAGGCACCACACAATCACTTTTTTTCGGCTTCTCTTCTCTGGTTAAAATTTGGATATTCTTCGAGTCTCTTTGGTCCGCAAACCGCTGATTGATCAAGCTATGTGTCACATAGGTTATGTATTACATAGTTTTGTATGTATACTGGTAATATCCCTGACTACTATCACCCACTTACGGTTGCCCAGCAGGCCAGGTTGAACGTTAACGTTCGCATCATGATCACAAGTCACGTGATTTTCTTTTCTTTTTTTCTGTTGAGCTCACCGCTACGCGTGTTTACACTGCTACAAACACCACATCAGACTCGTACCCAATTGTTTTCACTCTGTGGATGTGCGCGCGACACTGCAATGTGGAAATGCAACTAAGTAGTTTTGTATTCAATGTAAAGTCACGTTCTGCTTTCAATACAAAGAGTCACATGCTACTCCGAAAATTTGTGCAGACACTTTTCGCATGGGGAACCTCATGTGTTCCAGAATTGTTTTCTGAGAGGATCGCGTCGAATTTGGCAAATGCGTAAGTGAACTGCCACTGCTAATGTGTGAGGTGTTGCCGCGCGGAGTAGCATGTGACTCTTTGTATTGAATGCAGAACGTGACTTTACATTGAATACAAAACTACTTAGTTACATTTCCACATTGCAGTGTCGCGCGCACATCCACAGAGTGAAAACAATTGGGTACGAGTCTGATGTGGTGTTTGTAGCAGTGTAAACACGCGTAGCGGTGAGCTCAACAGAAAAAAAGAAAAGAAAATCACGTGACTTGTGATCATGATGCGAACGTTAACGTTCAACCTGGCCTGCTGGGCAACCGTAAGTGGGTGATAGTAGTCAGGGATATTACCAGTATACATACAAAACTATGTAATACATAACCTATGTGACACATAGCTTGATCAATCAGCGGTTTGCGGACCAAAGAGACTCGAAGAATATCCAAATTTTAACCAGAGAAGAGAAGCCGAAAAAAAGTGATTGTGTGGTGCCTAGTATGTCCACAACAGCGCCAGAGTCGCTTAAAACGCAGTTAACTTTTGTAGAGACGCGTAGCGGTGAGTTCAAAGCGCAGGTATGTAAGGCATGAATTTCGCTCGGAAAAAGCGAGAAAAAGTGTTGGTGTGGTGCCTAGTATGTCCGCAACAGCGCTGGAGCCGTTAAAACGCAAATTGACTTATGTATAGACGCGTAGCGATGAGGTCGTGACGCGCGGCGCTTGAGTCGGATGCAAACTTAGACCTGGCCCTGCTCGGCAACCGTAGGCGGGTCACCTGCCTGGAGCCAAAGTCAGGTGTAAGCCTAATCCAATTCAATTCAAATTTGAAATTTGCGCGTTCGTGTTGGCTGAGCAATGGCTGTCCAGCATCGCACTCTGAGAATGGCATGATCCCATCAGATACGCATTCATGTGTTTTCAAATGATCGCCGGTGAAAGTTGGCAAGCCAAGCAAACTCAAAGCACGGTTCGATTATGTACAGGGATTGAGAGTCGCGGAGGGAGAGTCGACGCGGTCTAGTGACGAAAGGGGCTGCACAATCGACAATCGAGCTGTGCCAGGAGAATGCTTAAAATGAATCCGTCACCCGGCGCTGGTGTCCCTGGGGAGGGCGATACTCGCTAGAGCTCTTGTGTTGGGTGAGCAGGCCTAAACGACTTCCCAGCCCACTCCTCTCTGTCTTATTTCTTTGTTACTCTTGTCTGATATTTGTTCGGCCCTAGCTGTCATATAAACACTTACACCGTACATGCCGTCACAATATCTTTCCCGCTCACGCTCGAGTATCCCGGCTCTAGGCAGGACTCCAGCCGCTATGACAAACAAACAATATATAGATCCCGGCTCAGTGCTACCGAACAAGACCTTGCTGAGAAGAACAGCAGATCGCTTGCTCTCAAGCAGCACCCCGATATTTCTAACGAGATTATCAACTCAGTTGAGTCGAATAGCCTACCTTCCTGAATGTGCAGTTTACGCGGTGTTGATATCCCAGCGTCTTGCTAGCGGGCCAATTACGGCGGGGCCATTCCTATACGGGGCGAGCATTTCTCCGACCTATATATTTCCATCCCCTAAGTAATCATCTATGCATTTTGTTGAGCCGATCGATTATTCTTACGAGGCTTTCCATGCATGCACGAGTTCAGATCTGGCCCTCATTATCCTCCATATCCCGCGTGATGTGTCAAGAGACTCCGAAGCAAGATTGTAGCTCAAAGTCCGAGTCATTCGTCCCTTTGCTACCAACACCCTAACCCTACATTCATATCACAGCAACTAGAGCGCGGTAGTACGTTCAGACCTCCATTAAAGGTACGCCGGGTTTAGCTGCCACGTACCTAACACTACCTGATTGTAACTAACGCTCATTGGATGAATGGGTGAATAGAGGCACCCGATGTCAAAATGCAACTGTGCACGCGCAAACGAGAGCAGCGACGCGGGAATACTGAGACCAATTGGCAACACGACGCCGTAGGGCAAATATACAATATTGAAGCCAAGGCAGGGTACGGAACTCAAACCATCTATATCTATCCACACAACGCTTCATCTCCACTGCTGACTGAACCTGTGCAAACACACAATCCTCACACCCCACACTCCAACCACTTTTTTTCGAGCCACGCTCTATGCGTGATCGGCTCACTATCGATTCATTGCGCCCCCAACAACGCGAAAATGCATTGTAACAATGGACGACGAACGCGCTAGATGCCAGCCAACAAGATAGTTACAATCATTACAAGGTTCCAACGAACGTGGACTGGGGGCAAAAAAAAGGGACAGTATAACAGAATCCTCGTCAATTACACGCGCGATGTCCTGTGGCCTCGCGCAAAAGAAGCACCTACCTGAATGCTTGTCATGGCACCGATCACGTTTATTTGAAATTTGGTCACATCGTTCGTCAACAGAATCCGCGGGATACTCAGCCTGATGCAGGTTGAACAGGTCGTCTCGGACTGCACACACGCAAAAGCTTAATCCAGGAGCTTGCAGTTAAGGATGCCGTACACCCCGTTTTGCGTGCTCGAGAGATATGGTCGTATGAACCATGACAAAGTGGCGGCACGATTGACGTCCGACACCGGTGAAGCAGCGCTCCGGATGAGCAACGAGTCCAACGCACCATCGTCGGAAATGTTCCCAAAGGGCCTCTAACTCCATGCAAGTCCTGGAGGACATAAGACGTCGATAACGGCACTCAGCTCCCACACTCAAGGCCGCATCGTTGTGCTTGTCCCTGAGATCGCCGCGTCTCCGGTGGCACTCCGGGCATATGAGGTAGGGGTTTCAGCAACCGTCCGAAACAGTCAAGCACAGCTCCGCTACTCGTGCAAGTCGAACTTGTGCACCGGAACTGCAACAGTAAGAGTTGTCCGCCAACCCCCCGCACCCACAGCATGCCCCCGAACCCTGAGACCACAGCACGCACGGCGTGTAGTTCCAACCGGAAGTGCTGGGAAGAACTCCTTCACCCTGACAAACGGTCGAGTCTGCGGGCCCGGGGTCGGGCTGGACTCTTATCAACTGCTGCAGACTCACCCCTTCAGATTAGTAGACAAACGGCCAAGGAGAACGGCTAGTGCGAATGTTCTCACTTCTATCTCCGACACGTTTAATATTACTAAAATTTGAACAAGATGAGGACAACCTTTGGTGCAGAAAGTGACACGACTTGCCGAGATGGCGTCAAGGCAATTGCATAGTGGCCCAAGAATAGCAGTGTCAACCATCACCTGGGGTAAAAGGGATGTCATGAATACCATGGAAATTCAGATGCATAAATTCGTGTGCGGGCGGGGATCTACGTTCGTCCTTGAGCTTGCCTCCTGCCACCAGTCGTTTGGGGACGGGCCTACAACAACCCGTTTTGACCAAACATAATTCGAAATAGAAACAGGCAATTGACGCCTTTGACGCTCTGGATCCATAAAGAGAAAGAAGGTGGAATGAAGGGAGGGGGTGGCGCGGCCATCGAGAAGGGTGAAATTCGATTTGACCAGCAGCTGCATTGTTTCTTGCCAAATATTCGGAAGTTGGATGGGGCAATGGGGATGCAAGTTCATGTCCCAACAATCTAATTATGTACGACATAATTCCAGAAACTGGACATGGAATCTACAGCCCCTGAAACAATAACGGCCATGGATCTGATTAAATAGAATAAAAAGTAATAGCCGAGACTTTGCTTCAATTGCGAAGTCCGCCGCATTCCCTCAACCTCCGATCTTCCTCGTCCCGCAACTCACAACGTGATGTTGAGCTTGCGGCGCTGTATTCCCTTTCTTGGTATTCCTGCTACCAAAGTCAGTGCGCCATTGAGGCGACTGCTTATAAAAGCAGTGAACAATTTTTCTCTTTCGTCTCCCTCAGTTCAACAACGATTGACTGTGAGACTCCGCTTGTTCTTTTGTCTTAGTGACTTACTTACGCACTTTCATGTATCCTAGCGTAAGTAACACGCTAGGTAACTAGTTTTAATTCTATTAGTTCAACAACGATTGACTGAGCGTAACACGCTAGCGTAAATCGCTACCATTTTAATAAGAGAATGATATAAGTGACAAACCTCAACCATGAGGAAAAGAAATTGAATTGAATGGACGGACGCGGACAAGTCCGAAGTACTTGAAAGGAATGTGACCATGTGATGAAACATGTGGTAATACAATAGCACGTGCGCCGAACGAATAGAACCACAAAGCTCGGTCGTGCCCATGATGAAGGCAGCACCGACAGCGACGAGTCGGAATCTGGTGTCAGGCCTAGGCAGGTCACCAGCCTCTATGCCATGGTGTGGCTGTCGGGCGAGATTAGAGGAAAACAAAGTTCTTCAAAAGAAGACCGAGTGACCGTATGATTCTTCGCCACAAAGGTGAAATGGATCTCATCACCAGGCTCCGCGTGCACAAAAGGCGGAGTGTCGTCCTTACTCGTGGCCACATAGATGGCTTTCCTGGACATTTCAAGTTCGGTATCATCCCGTTTTACCCCCCAGCCGTAGCAAGCGCCTTCTTCTTGAAAGCATCGAAAGTATGAGGTCCCCTCTTGGGGGGATTGGTCGTGAATGCCATCCCGTTGCTGCGGTGTTAGCAAGAGTGCAATGCCCCAGAAGATTTAGCAGGGAAAATTGATTTACACAAGGGGAAGATCAAGAAGGTTGTGGGAGCGGCCGGATAGTCATAACTTGTAAAGTCAAGCCTTTTGACAAACCATAAGAACGTACGTCATGCTCATATCAGTTATTGATATTATACATGTTCAACTATTTCTTTACGCTGCTACATTCTGCTTATTTGCGCAATCGCAATATTGCATCTCTTTATCACTTACGTTTGATATCTTGTTATTACTTGATCTACTTATATTGTTATGCAGAGATCATCTTTCCCCTCGTCCGCCCAGTGCTACGTAATAATACACTTGTATTGGTTTTCAATCAGTACTTGTCCCAGGAGCACTACCAGTCATCCCATATGTAGAAGTTCAATATGGGAAATAGCCCGTGCGTTGTGGCGCCGAATACTTATCGGCATGCCCATGCCTTTCGTTCAAATATTCACACACCAAAAGGAATCACCTCCCTTCGTTCCATGGAATTAACATGCTTCAGTCGGAACCCTCTCCGTCGTCAACCTCGATGAATGCAGAATTGAGTTGCTTGCGCGAAAATGATGGCCATCATATTTCTAACATCTTAATGTACGGGGCCCGAAGCAGTAGGACTGGGATGTGGATAAATGGCAATGGCAAAGTCCAAGTTATCTGAGACGCATTTTCATCTTCCACGCCTCTCCTGACAGATGCGGCGCGCACTTGACACCGTCGTTGTTTTTCTACTCCTCCCGAGTGTTTTGGCCTTTACACCACTGCCAGCGGTTGATCTAGCCATTGGTGCACGAGGTGTTGCCACAAACGACTCCACATGCCTCGCTATTCAGCAAGCTATCTCAAGTGCTTCTTCCGTCTATTACCCCTCAGATCCTCAATATTCTCAAGATATCTGGCATTTCATGAATTCGAGCATTCAGTACCCGAAGTGCACCGTTGAACCAGGGACTGTTCAAGATGTGTCGAAAATTGTGAGTTGAATGCTTGCATTGTAATGTTCAACGAACTCAGGGCCTATCCTTTGTCTAGATGAAAATCCTGGCCAACTCTACTTCTCCTTTTGCTGTGAGTGTCGGGTTGCAGAACAACAGGTGGAGCAAGTTTTGGATCGTTGATGTGGCATAGGTGAAATGTGGTGGCCATGCTTCCAACCAGGGCTTCAGCTCTACGACTGGCGTTCTTATTGCCATGACTCGTTTTAACAAAGTTATCTACCACCCCGAGACGAGCACCGCGGATATCCCGACAGGCGTCATTTGGGATGATGTGTACGCAGCTCTTGAGCCTCATGGTGTCAATGTCGTTGGCGGACGTGTGTCTGGAGTTGGCGCGACTGGAGTAACGCTTGGTGGAGGTAAGACACATTATTCAGACTGTCGGCATCTAACTGATCCGTCTGTCGCTGAGAGGGTATTCATGGTTGACAAACCTCTATGGGTTGACGGTGGATTCTGTCACCGCATTCGAACTCGTCCTACCTAGTGGGGAAGTCGTCGAAGTCACGAATGATAATAAGTTCCGTGATCTTTTCTTTGCCTTAAAGGTGAGTATACTGCTTGTCCTCGAGAACATACCCACTGAGGCGTTGGGGTTGACTTCAGGGTGGTTTCAATAATTTTGTGAGACTTTTCTGGTTTCGCCCGGCAGTCTCATAATCAACACTCTCCACAGGGGATTGTGACGAAATTTACTTTGACGACCTATCCTCAAGGCCAAATTTGGGCGCGTATCTCCTTCACTTAACTTGTACAACGCATTGCTTGTATTGATACAATCACCGCTACAGGCAGGGTTAATTCTTTACTCCGGGTCACACTGGGACAAGCTCGCAGACGCAACGGTTGACTTCCAAAATTCAAATACCGATCCCAACGCCAACGTTCTCCCCTCGTTCAATCAGTATCCAAACGGAACACAAGTCGCGGCTGTGCTCGTATTCTACAATAAGCCTACTGCTCCACCTGGACTGTTCGACAAATTTTTGAACGTTCCGAGTATTTCTCAAAATGTCACAACGAGGAGCTTTCGGGATTTCATTCTGAGTATCCCGAGTAACGCAGAGGCCGGTTTCCGGTGGGTTATTTTGTTTTCAGTCATTTATGTGATCGAGCCAAATCCATTGCATGAACTCTAGTGGAGCTTTCAAGGGGGTATCTTTAGCAGAATTCTCGCCCGGTATTCTAAAGACAATCCTTGCAGAAATTCCAGTAGGTCCCAGCCCGTGGGCCACACAAATCCCAAAAAATTGATGTTATTTTTATATCAGACTTGGAGTGCCTACAATGGAGCGAATTCTGGAGTGTTCGTTTCGTACGACATGGAGCCATTCCTAACTAGCATCCCAAAGCACGCTACTCCGAGTGCATTCCCACACGACAAATTCGCTTCCCCCATGAACATCTACTTTGCTTGGACATCTCCTGACTCCGACGGTGCCCAGATGCAGGGAATCGAGCAAACTGCGGCGAATATCGCTGCCGCCGCCAAGGCCGAAGGACAAGACATTGACTCGTTAACTTTATACCCAAATTATTGTCTTGCTGACACTCCGTTGGAGAAGATGTACGGGAATAATGTACAGAGGTTGAAGAGCATCAAGGAGGAGTATGACCCTCTCAATGTTATGGGTCGTACAGGCGGGTGAGTCCTGTTGCTTTAACGTGCTATGATGCACTAAAGGTTGCTCTGGTCTTCTCGCAGGTTCAAATTTTAGTAATATTCACTGAATCAGAAATCGGAGGCAAGAACATTGCGTTGATTATGTACCTGCTTTCTTTTCGCGTTGCATCAATGAACACACACCCCAATACCGGCTGGCTGTGGAGCCGGCAATACACTATGGCACATGCATGTCATGCGCCAAAGTTACGCGCGAGAGCCTTGAGCTGATATATTGGTTATTAATCTTGCTGTGCGTGAGTGCACAGGGTGACGCTATGGTGTATAATGTGGCTACTAATTAGCCGCATGGACCTTTGAGTAAATTATCTTGAATGTGGGAGTTCGAAGCTGAGGTGCGATCATCCAGAAGATTGCCTCCAACGGGGGGCTGAAATTGAGGACCAAGCGGAAGAAGGTACTTACAAGCGAGGATTTTATGGGCAATCCCATGCGGTGGCTTCTCTGGTGTCTATTTCCCAGCCCAATTGCAGCATACAGGCAGTTCGTCGTGAAGAGAAGATGACCACCTGCCATTGGAATCTTCTACTCGACAAAGAATAATTGGCTGGTGGAACCAAGAAACTCGTGCGCTCGTTGTATCCAGCGCATACCTGCACAAACACCTGCGCCAGTATCTAAACCAATAGCTCTAATCCGAAGATTAATTCCGTAGGAGTCTGATAATCCGGGTCGACGTAGCCGACTCTATCGCTCTCGGTGTGAAAGCTCCCGGCACTGCAGAGATGGATGTTGGGCACCTAAGCACGCGTGCCCCTCTCTTAGGAATGGGGGAGTCAGGCGGGCAGCGATCCCAATCAGGCAGCAGTTCTAGCGCACGCGTTAGACTTGTAAGAACAGACGGGCTGTGTTCGGCCATCCAGATTTCTTATAATTCTCCTGAGGGGTGTGGCTCCCCGGGCGCCGCTGGCGAGACGGTGAACCTAAGAGCGAGCACATGATACGGCCTGAGTGTGGTGAATGATGATTCAATGAAAATGGATTTATGATAGTCCGGGGCGCTATTTTATGCCATCACGAGGTGTTACGATTTGTACGACTGTGTCCGTCGAGCACACACATAACGAGGGATGAGTAGGGCCTTGACTACAAGGTACTAGGTTAAGCTTTTGTATATACGCATTAGGACAGCTTGTTCAGCCTGCATTGGCCCTTGCCCTTAATTCTCCATTCATGTTGAAAGTCGACGAGCGATTGCAGCCCTGCGTCCTAATCTTAAACAAATGAGACCAATCACTGGTCACTACAATACAAAGAGAGCCGGATGAGCAGCATCGTCAAGTCCATCAAGCCTGCAACGGGTTTAATAATGAGGTGGCCTAGACATGGGCGGAAGTTGCACGCCTCGTGTGGCTGTGATTCACAGCCTGTGACAGTTACGGAAATTCGGGGATTATCAAATGCGATACATACTCCATATTCAACGCATGGAGAGATGAGTGGTCGATCAACTCAGCAGGATGGACAGTGAGTTGGAAGATAAGCTCATCATAGGACTATGCGTCGCCTTGCTGTGATTGGCCAAAAGATCAAGACCTGAGTTTGTTCCCGCTGGGGTGCTGATGCTTGTGCTGATAAGTTACCCTGAGACCCCATATACGCTCAGGGGATCCAGCTATTCGGCGAAGAATCCCTATCTGATTCGAAGCCTCAAAGGTGCTGCTCGAGAGCGAGTTGGTCTTGCTTGCATGTTCTTCTCGGCAACGCTCTGGAGAAGTACAGCTCTCATCAGACATATGTGCAATGCACATTCAGTCGTCGGTTTGATTTTTTTTCGTAATTTCCACGCTCCCTTACATAGTCCGAGTTGCAGCATTCAACTTTGGGAGATTACCGACGGTCATCTGAAAGAAAGATCGTGAGTGAAACGTTCCCGTGTCTGATGACACACTAGGCTGTGCTAGAGTTGGTGGAACAGCCAAGTGCCCGAATTGTGCGCCCCGGCCGACTCGGAAATTCAGCCACGGGAGTTATGTAACGCCGCCACAACTCACGCGAAACGAGCGTTGACTGCCATTAGGGGAAAGCTTCGATTGTTACAGTTGCCGTTATTCCTCATGGAAGAATTTATTGACCTGTCACAGATAGGCCTCCTTGCGGTGCCAGCCACCCCGGAAGGCATTGAGATCGACACGAATACAAAGCAGAGGGGATGCCTCCTCTCGGCCGCGTGGCTCCGCCCCTCCGCTTTCTGACTGGCATTCGGGATGCCCGTGTATTCCTCGGTTCCTTATGAGCACTGGTTATTCGATTATCCCGTGCAGTCAGTATGTGGGTTACCCTATAAATGGTGGGGCTTCTTTGGAGCTTTCCTGGATCCTACACCCATCTTCACTTCGCACAAACCCAACGCGAATACCAGAAGCATAATGAAGTTCTTTCTTTACGCATTGACGGGCCTGGCTGTTTTCAGTTCGGCACTCGCGAAAAAGAAGACACACATTGTAAGGCGACGAGGTCGTAGAGTGATCTGTGCTTTTGCTGACTACCTCATTCTTCAAGGTCAACGTCGGGCCTGGCGGTCAACTTGTATACGATCCCCCTTTCATTGTCCGTATCATCAAGTCATAGCTTTGCTACAATGTTTCACTTTTCCTGACGTCTCCACTACAGCACGCGAACAAAGGGGATGAGGTGAAATTTGTATTCAATCCGAAGAACCATACAGGTGCGATTTGCGCCGTTTTCTATGCTTGGATGTCGCCTGAAGAGTTTTGTTTGATCGCCTAGCGACCCAATCTTCATTCGACTCCCCATGTTCGAAACTCAAGGACTCGCATGGACGTAACATTGGGTTTGACTCAGGCTTCCAGCCCGTGGACCCCATCCATCCCGTGCACAAGATCGTCACGTTCAAAGTCCGAACGAAAGACCCATTGTGGTTCTACTGCCGACAGACCGGTCACTGCAGCAAAGGGATGGTGTTTGCGATCAATCCTCCCAAGAAGGGACCCCATACCTTTGATGCCTTCAGGAAGAAGGCACTTGCTACAGCTGGTGGTAAACGGGATGATACCGAACCTCGAAGGGTGAAGGTCCACGATGTTATCGTGGGCCAAGGCGGTCAACTTACCTACACCCCGCCTTTTATCCACGCAAAAACTGGTGAAGAGATCCGTTTCACCTTTGTGGCGAAGAACCATACGGCCACTCAGTCTTCCTTCGATGAACCTTGTTCGCCTCAAATCTCGCCCGACGGTCACACTCGTGCCGGATTCGACAGCGGATTCCAGCCTGTCGCTAATGGTCATTTCCGCCGAGCCTCCTTCATCATGCCCAAGACCGACAAGCCTCTGTGGTTCTACTGCCGCCAGAAGGTTCCTGTGTCACACTGTGGGAAGGGGATGGTGTTTGCGATCAATCCTCCGAGCCGCGGAAATACTTTTGCTGCATTCAAGGCGAAGGCTCTCGCGACTGGAGGAAGGAAGCGGGAGGACATGATTGATGGTGAAGAGGAGGAATGATTATAATCAGGGGTGAAGAGAGTGAATGATTAGATGTCCTTCGCTCTGCTGCGACCCATACGATGGGAGATTGGGAGAATGTGATGTACTGGAGGTCATGGTTCTCACGTTTGTAAAGGACATGGACAGTTGTTTCGTCTCCGGGCTGCGAATTTCATACTTTAGTTTTCGAATTGATTCACAGTTACGTCATGTTTGCTCTCTCGGGATCCGTCATTCGGCTCCCGACTTGGCAGGGGAGCTCAATCACGATTGAATGAGGTTTGATCCGGACTCGTTGACACCGGATGTCTCGGCTTGTCCGTTTGGGTCTAACTATCCCTTCAGTAGCATTACATAATCCCATCCCCTTCTTTATTGGGTACGCAGATCACAGTATTATCGGTTATCTACTATGTAGGCCATGGACGCGTGCCGGGAATAAGTACACTACTGTATTGCACATTTCATGTCATGCATGCTTACGTGCTGGGGCCTTGACTGCACTAAGTGACATGTCGGCGTGTGCGATTATATCAGAAATTAGCTGCCGGGATTTTTAGAGTCGATTCTCTTGCACACAGTTCAAGGGTCATTGGAATCGTTTGAGATCATCTAATTGGGTGAGGTTTGATATTAGGATGGCCAAACGGCAAGAAAGGGCTCCGTCGCAACGGAGCATTTGTGAGCAACTCCCATGCAATGGCTTCTCTGCATGGTGGTTCTATTTCTTGGCCCACTTGCAGCCATGCGAACAGTTCATCAGGCTCCCAGTAGGGGTAGAGTTACCCCGGTAAGAGGGGCAAGAAGAAAACATCCTTTGCGATTGGCACCTTTCACTCAATTGAACAAGGGCCGCACCGGTGATTGACGAAGAGCGCAGAAACTCATGCACTCGCTATACCAGGCGCCTGCCCAAACTAACGCCTCCGCTGAATATCTAAATCGATCTTAGAATATGTATGCTAATCGCGAAATAACTCAGCTTCACGTTAGAGTGGACTATAAATGTTATAATACCTAATCGCGAAATAACTATCGTACATGAGTTATTAGTAAGAATCATAACAACTAGTCGAAGTATCGATCTCACCTCAGCTTCACGTTAGAGTGAACTGAGGGGGATGATAATGCGAAAAGGCGAAAGTTTTATAGAAAAAGATAGGGCACCAGCGCGTAGTGCGCCAGGCCAAAGAGTAGTCGGACCCGAGTCAAAGCGGGATGTCAAAGCGAAGAAGAATGAAGGAAAAAGAAGTTACAACCACGCCACCTTAAACCCATGATAGCCGTAGGGCCTAAGCTCCTACTGGGTGCCCGTCGAACCCCAACAATCGACGGCTCTAGAGTCCTGTAGACTTAGCAGTATCGAATCTCCGGATCAGTCATCCAACCCGACCTGGGGGACTCGGTTGTTTTCACGTTCCCGGCGCTGCGAAAATATTGAGTTCCTAGCCCCTCTCTCAATGGTCAGAGGCACACCGCCAAGGAAGAGCAAGGGTGCTGTGTTCGACCGTTTCTGGCTAATCATAAACTTTATGATTCTGCAATAATGGGGCCCCCGGCAAACGTCTTAGTAACGGGCACACGATACAGCTCAAGTGTGGCGAATGATGATTCGATAATTCTCGCCAACCACATTCTGGGCTCGTATCCCTTTGCGAGGAATTAGAGACCCCTTGGATTACTTGCTAATCTAGAGTGTTATTCCACCGCTGTTAATTGGTTCCTTATTGTGCGGCCACTTTTCCATGATCCCTGAGGCTATTGTCAGTCGAGCACGCAGATTGGGCCGCTACTGGATGAAGATTTTGTATACATGCATTTTGGGACGGTCCTGATTCTCTGCTCATGGTGTAGTGTCGTCAGTATCCGGAGAACACTTCATCACTGTACTGACGTAACCTCTGGATAGTGTTCTCTCCCCACGGACTCGGGAACGCTTGCCACCGTTCTACTACTGCCTTGATCCGTGTGATTGGACCTCAATGGCTGAATCCACTTGACTCGGAAAATCTCTGTCAGATAAGTCTTATGGACCAGGGACGGCCTCTATTACTGGCGGCAGTGATTAGGTATTTTCTCTAGGCTTCCATAATTCTGCATGGGAAGAGTTCACTGAAATGTCATAGATGTGCTTTCCTGTTGTGCTCGTCGCCCCGGTGCCACTTGAGACCCAGTGATCGGGGCAACCGGGATCGACACGGGCACGAGGCTAGGTGTCCTCATCTCGGCTGCCTGACTCCAGTTTTCCGTTTGTGACTGGCGGTTAACATTGTGCGTGCGACCCCCCGGCCGCCTACGTCAGTATGTGCACCGCGTTTCCGCGATAACATGTGCGGTTCAGGATGCGAGTAGCCTATAAATGGCAGGCTTCTTTGGAGCTGCCTGGACGCATACTCATCGGCACTCTGAAGACCCCCACGAATCCGGAAGTAAGGAGCTTCTTCCGCTTGATCCTCAATTTGAGCTTCCCCCCCATTGGAGGCAACCTTCTGGATGATCGCACCTCAGCCTCAAACTCTCAAAGGACCCTGCGGCTACACTGTTATACACCATAACGTCACCCCGTGCACTCACGCACAACAAAGATCCATAACCAGACTCTCGCGTGATAATTTGGCGCAATAACATGTAATGTGCCCTACTACGGTGTATTGCCGGCCACGCCAACCGATATTAGGATGCGTGTTCATTGATTCAACGCAAAAAGAAAGCAGGTAATTGAATAACGTAATAGTTCTTGCCTCCGAGATTTCTGATACGGTGAGTATCACTAAAATTTGAACCTGCGAGACGACCAGTCAGTGTATCATCGCACCTTAAAGCAACAGGACTTACCCGCCTGTACGACCCATAACATTAAGAGGGTCATACTTCTCCTTGATCTTCTTCAACCTCTGTACATTATTCCCATACATCTTCTCCAACGGCGTGTCAGCAAGACAATTATTCGGGTATAAAGTTAACGAGTCAATGTCTTGTCCTTCAGCCTTGGCGGCGGCAGCGATATTCGCCGCAGTTTGCTTGATTCCTCGTATCTGGGCATCGTCGGAGTCGGGAGATGTCCAAGCAAAGTAAATGTTCAAGGGGGAAGCGAATTTGTCGTGTGGGAATGCACTCGGAGTAGCGTGCTTTGGGATGCTAGTTAGGAATGGCTCAATGTCGTACGAAACGAGCAGTCCAGAGTTCGCTTGGTTGTAGGCACTCCAAGTCTGATATAAAATAACATCAATTTATTTATCTTTTAGGATTCGTTGTGACCCTGCGAGCTTGGGACCTAACTGGAATTTCTGCAAGGATGGTCTTTAGAATACTGGGCGACAATCTTGCTAAAGATACCCCCATGAAAGCTCCACTAGAGTTACATGAAATGGGTTTAGCTCGATCACGTAAATAACTGAAATAAAAATATATAAAATATAAACCCACCGGAAACCGGCCGCTGTATGACTCGGGACACTCAGGACGAAATCAAGAAAGTTCCTCGTTGTGACATTCTGAGAAATACTCGGAATGTTCAAAAATCTGTCGAACAGTCCAGGTGGGGCAGTAGGCTTGTTGTAGAATACGAGCACAGTCGTAACCTGTGTCCCGCTTGCATACTGGTTGAACACGGGGAGAACGTTGGCATTGGGATCGGTATTTGAATGTTGGAAGTCAACGATTGCGTCTGCGAGCTTGCTCCACTGTGACCCGGAGTAAAGGATTAAGCCTGCCTGTATAAAGCGGTGGGTTTTGTATCAATACAAGGAATATGCTTTTGCGCAAGTTGAGGCAAGAAAGTACGCGCCCAAATTTGACCTTGAGGATAGGTCTTCAAAGTGAATCTTGTTACAATCCCCTGTGGAGGATCAAGTTGATTATGAGACTGTCGGGCGGAACCAGAAAAGTCTCACAAAATTATTGTAACCACCCTGAAGTCAACCCCAACGCCTCAGTAGGTATGTTTTTTGATGACAAGCAGTATACTGAAGAGTAACTCACCTTTAAGCCAAAGAAGAGATCACGGAACTTATTATGATTCGTGACTTCGACGACTTTTCCACTTGGTAGAACGAGCTCGAATGCGGTGACAGAATCCACCGTTAACCCATGGAGGTTCGTCAACCATGAATACCCTCTCAGCGACAGACGGATCAGTCAGGTGTCGACACAATCTGGAACAATCATTGCAGTGTCTTACCTCCACCAAGGGTTACTCCAGTCGCGCCAATTCCAGACACACGTCCGCCAACGACATTGACACCATGAGGCTCTAGAGCCGCGTACACATCATCCCAAATGACACCTGTCGGGATATCTGCGGTGCTCGTCTTGGGGTGGTAGATAACTTTGTTGAAACGAGTCATGGCAATAAGAACGCCAGTCGTAGAGCTGAAGCCTTGGTTGGAAGCATGGCCACCGCATTTCACCTATGCCACAACCAACGATTCAGAATTTGCTTCTTTCACCTGTTATTCTGCAAGCCGACAACTCACAGCAAAAGGAGAAGTAGACTTGGCCAGGATTTTCATCTAGACAAAGGGATAAGACCCCTCATGAGCTCGTTGAACGGTTACAAATGGCAGCCATTCAACTCACAATTTTCGACACATCATCAACAGTTCCTGGTTCAACGGTGCACTTTGGGTACTGCACGCTTGAAGACATGAAATGCCAGATATCTTGAGAATAGTGAGGATCCGAGGGGTAATAGACGGAAGAAGCATTCGAGATAGCTTGCTGAATAGCTAGGCATGTGGAGTCGTTTGTGGCAACGGCAGCACCTCCTCGCCGTGCAACCATGGCTATATCAACCGCTGGCAGCGGTGTAAAGGCCAAAACACTCGGGAAGAGTAGAAAAATACCAACGACGGTGTCAAGTACGCGCCGCATCATCTGTCAGCCTGTTCAAATAAGGAATCGAGAGGCGTGGACCTTGATGAAAATCCAGAAGCATCTCAGATGACTGAGTTTTTGCCTTTTTATCCGCATTCCTGCCCTACTGCTTCGGGCCCCGTACGTGATTAAAATGATGGTCATCATTTTTCCCGGGGTTTGAAACGCAAGTCAATTATGCGTTCATCGAGGTCAGGCACGGACGGACAGGGTTCCCAACTGGGGCATGTGGATGGGATAAAGTTCATTCCTTAGAACGAAGCGAGGGTGATTCCTTCTGGTGTGTGTGTGAATATTTGACCGGAAGGCAAGGGGAAGGACTGCCGATAAGTAAGGCCGTATTCGGGGCTACAACGCACGGGTTGTTTTCCATATTTGAACTCCTACGTATGATGGAATGACTGGTTTGGAAGTATAATACTCCCGGGACATGGTACTGAATACAACTTGGGCTCGATTGACTTGTCGGCAAAGTTGATCCGTTCACTAAGTACTTGGTCGCCAATGCTCGGCCAGGGCGCCGAAATGGACGCTAGAACTGTTCAGCTCCTATGAACTAGTACGTGGTGGGCAGGTAAAAAACCGTACTGCCAAGGTAGGCGACTGAAGTGGTCGTTCACAGGCTTGGCAGACGGAGGCGAGCTGAAGGAGAAATTTGCTTCCGACGCGACGTCAGCACGACGTCAAGCCACAAGTTGCGAACGAGGCGATCAGAAAGTGCGGGAAAATGTGAGGCAAGCCAATAACAATAAGGGAGCGAGAAAAGGCGAGGCAACCTATATTATTCGGACTGCTTCGATCATAACTCACCCCAGCTTTTAAGTGTGTTGTCGCGATATTTCAGTAGGTGGATATTCCATCAAAGCAAAGCATGACGTATATAATAATTGTAAAATCAATTCGGAAGTCGAGCATGAACATTCACAGAGCCGGAGACGAAACAACTGTCCATGCCCCTTATCAACAGTCCACGGAACGAAACAGACAAACGTGAGAACCAAAGACTCGCAAAAGTACATCAATCTCCCATCGAATAGGTCGCAGTAGAGCGAAACCATTCACTCCATGCATCATCATCATCATTCCGCATCTTCACTATCAATCATGTCCCTCTTGCCTCCGTACTGAGAGATAGCCCTGGCCTTGAATGCGGCAAAAGTATGATGTCCGTGCTTTGGTGGATTGATGGCAAAGACCATCCCCTTCCCACAGTGCGATACGGGAACCGTCTGGCGACAGAAGAACCACAATGGGTCTTTCGTTTTGACGTGGTACAAGACTGTCTTCGGCTCGGGATACGAGGGCTTTATGGGCTCAAAGCCCGAGTCGAACCCATGCCTGAGCTTCTTACACGGGTACTCGAATGAGGATTGGCTCGCTAGGTGATCAAACCAAAAAAAAAAACAAAACGAAAAAACTCTTCAGCCCAAAAAATCCAAGGCAGGAAAAAATCGCACCTGTATGGTTCTTTGGATGGAATATAAATTTCACCACATCCCCTTTGTGAGCGGACTGCCGTGGGTGAGGGACGTCAGGAACAAAAGTAAAACATTGTGACGGCGATAGCAGCGCTATGACTTGATACGCACAATGTAAGGGGGATTGTATGCAAGTGTACTGTTAGGCCCGACATTGACCTTGAGAATGAGGTAGTTCAGCAATGCACAGATGATTACTCCACGACTGTTCTCTTACAATATGCGTCTTCGGTTTAGCGAGTGCCGAACTCAGAATGGCCAGCCCCGCGAATGCATAGAGAAAGAGTTTCATTGTGTTCCGAATTTTGTGAGGGGGGGTTGTGTGTGCAAAAGTGAGAGGGTAACGTATGAGTTCAAGGGACCCCCAAGAAAAGCCCGCCATTTATAGCCTGCCCCCACATCCTGACAGCACGTGCTATTGCAAGGAATAACGGCACTGGCGCTTGTTGCACATCAGGGACCGATGAGTACACGGGGCAGCAGCCGTGATATGTAAGGACACCTGAGGCACAGTACTGACTTACTGGCTGAATTTCATCTGATTCCATCTGTACATAACCCTTAGGCAGATGACCAACCTCTATTGGAATACTGTAACCCAACAACAAGTTGGCAGCTCTAGCACCGCCTATGTCATCAGGCACGACGATCTTTCAGGTGACCGTCAAAGTATTTTAGAGTTTTTGACAGCAACTTGGAAAAAGAAGTTAAACGTTTGGGAGTCTAATCACAGGGACCGAGTGAGTGGTATCGCTTGGAGAACGGTGAGGGCAACGAGTGTTTCCATACGTGAGGGTTTGGGGATTGGCGCTGGGAAAAAGCTAGAATACCAATTCGGATCGTTTACGTCAATTGGGGCTGGCTGGTGACGACCCCGTATTGTGACATTTACGTATCAAAAATCAAATGGCTTGGCAACTTGATGAAAGCTACGAACAAGCAGATCTGTGAGAACACCGTTCCGATCATTACATACATAGCACGAATGGGGTTTCTACGCCGAATAGCAATAGCCCCAGCTTTGAACGTGTAACATCCTGCAGGTGCAAACAACTTGTTGGGTGGGTTTTGATCGTTGGCAAAACGACGCACGGTCCTTGAGTTGATTATTTTCGCACATCTGATCCCCAGCTTCTACTTAACGTAGAGTTTGTCCAGCTAGAAACTCGGAGTTCAGTCAATTCAGTAATCAAATTCAACTCACCTGACACGCACGTGCGATTCCTATCTAAGGCTTTGACAGCCCCACACAGCTCATGACAGCAAGCCAGCGGAAAACGCTCGATGTATTTTTTGGATGATCATGATCACAAGATCTCCTGTTGTAATCATTTCTTTCAAATTGACGGGTTCACTGAATTACGATTACTTATTCGCGGTTCTTATTCCTTCGCAAATTCACATTGATGTTTTGTTTCAACAAGCCCCGCGATGGGAGGTGGTCACTTCGGGCGTTCTTACAACCAGTACTGACCGCACATACTGTACTAACACGACCAACAACCGGTCACGCGTCACACGAAGGTCTTGGATTGAATTAAAAATCAACACAACTGAATTGATTGGGTGCCTCCGGCAATTGCCGGAGGCCGTGGGAACCGGTTGTTGGTCGTGTGAGTACAGTACTAGAGAGTTTCATTTCTCCTCAAATTCTGATTCTTTTGTTTTGTTTTCGGGAATTGGAACGAGGCTAACGTGAGAAATGACAACTTGGGAACGGAAGCGTGCCAGGAGGCAGGTGGGTGGCGCCATGTTGGAGTGAGAAAACGTGAGATGAATGCTGCCAACATGAGGCAGTTTTCATCGTCTCTACATGGGCTGGTGGGAGTGACGATGTCGGAAGAGAGCGAGGTAAGCGATGAACGCTGCCGATATCATATCGGGCTGTTTCACTGCGTATCAGTTGCGTCTGAATAAATGGACATGAAAAATGTCAGCAACGAGGGACGCATCCGCTGGTAGCACAACTGTTACTTACCATTTCTCCAGCACCTTCAGCAAATAAACGTTTTAGACATGATTTCCAGGTTCACGATGCCACTGTGGAGCAGCTAACAAGGGACGGTACGGGCGGTTGTGCTGCCATGCCAGGAATGAAGAACTAAGTATCTCGCAACGGGAGTAGCTATTGCCTGGCCTAAGGCAAGACCATCTGTCTGGAAGGGCACGTTGCACGACACAAGGTCACTTACCGAGATCGAGCAGCATCGTTGAACCGCTCGTGCCAGTAGCGCTGAACTCCAACGGCCTGTATAGTCCATAGACACGTGACCCGTAGTTGGTCGCGTGGTAGGCAAAACCTGACTTCGTAACAATATATAGTTGCGTACCCGCCGCTGTGAACCACCGTCTACTTTCTAACTTGGGCGTTTAGCCCCGCTTGACTCCCGTTTACCTTACTTTTCGCACATCCTACTCCCCCATTAGGCAGGTTACCAGCCTCTATTAGTATAGATCCCCCATCACCGCCGCTAACTAAACATTGGTTAGTGACTGGGGAGTGTGTTTGTATCCCTGCCTCACAGTGTCGACTATACTCCTCAAGTACCTGCCTTGCTCTCGCTTCTAGCATGCCAGTGAGGACAAGAAACCAAGTAGCGCTGCATCGTGATCGTTCCGACCACAACGACCATCAGCCTCTTTACAAACTTCCCCCTGAAATCATTTCCGAGATCTTCCTATATGGCCTCCCGGATGTCTTACCAGCTATGATGAAGATGGCCCTGGATTCATTGAGTGATCTGTGGAATGAGCGTATACGCTATCTCACCTTGATCACAGGCGTGTGCGCGCTGGTTCGAGGCGCCATCTTGTGTGATCCTTTATTTTGGAACGTGATAGGATATGCGCATAATCGGGGTCAAGAAACCCTGGTGGAGACGTATCTGGAAGCGATGTCTGTATTCATTCGGCGTTCAAGAAACGTGAACGTGCATCTCGTCTTGGTTGACTCCGACCCGTTTCGCCTGACAATTGGTGTGGAAACATTGCAAAAGCTTCTTTATCCCATCCTTCCCCGGTGCTCTACCCTTGTGTACCGAGCTTATTCTCCTCTTCCCTTCTTCCCCCTCCCTGGGAAGTTGAAGGCCCTAAAAACCCTTGTGATCGCGGCAGTCGGGCTTCATCGTGATGGAACGTATTTCCCAATTTTTGACGACCACAACCCGGGTTGTTCCCTCGAAGACCTCGGTTTAGAGACTTGGTGGTTCGATAAGGATAACAAGACTTTGGGGGGGAGTTCGACCTTTGCTTCTGTGCGTACTCTGACTTGTAGCTTCCAGAATGGGTATGTAGTGGGGCAATTCCGTCGGGTGCTTTCCCTTATGCCCCGGCTCAGGCATCTTGTGGTCGACTTGCATGTTGAGGGCTTTTGGAGCGGCTGGGATTTTGATATCACCACTCAAACACCACGGGAAAAACGTATCATCATTCCATCCCTAATCTCGGCTCAAGTCGCACTCAATGCGTCCCATGGGTTCTTCCAATTGGTGAATGCTCCTCAATTACAACATCTGTGCCTCAGTCCCTTCAGGCCAACCAAGGCATTCCCGTTTATAAGCAGTCGGATTCTCACTCTTCATCCGAGCCTGACGACATTCCCAAGTTTGAAGACGATCCGCATCGATATGTCGACGTGCCCCGCAAAGGTGATGGAGAGATTACTATATAACGGGACCTCGCTTGTGATGATTGAAATGCTATCGGCCAACCTCTTCACTCTCGATACCTTTCTAGACATCCTTTCAAACAGCAACACGGCCCTTCCACTTCTATCCTTTGTTCGAATCGTGTGGACATTTGATTGGCGTGAATCACTCCACTCATATCCTGTTTGGGAAAAGATCGCGAAGATTCTGATGAACTCCAAGGAAAGAAAGAACGTTCGGATAGAGCTTGTTCGAGATCCTGCCCAATGGGATGCCCGTTACATAGACGATTCGTATCCGGCTTCGTTAGCACCGCAGAGAATAGAGAATGTGAAGGGGAATGTTCAAACTGTTGAACCCCTGCACATGAGATATCAAAGGCTCTATGGGTCTGAGGCGTAAATCCATTCGTTCTGATGGTTGTTCGTAGTAGGTTGCGATTTGTAGCTTTGCTCGAGAACGGCTCGTATGTACTGGCCGACATGCCATGTCACGATGACTGTCATCAGCACCCTCGGGGCATTCACTCCGTTTTGAGGCAAAGTATCCAAGCTTGGATATTACCAGAATCCCCATGGAATCCTGGAAGTATCCGACGCTGGATATTGAAGTATTCCACATCGAATACAACCAGTTACCCCCGCTCGGATATAACATGGATACGAGACAGCCCAAGAAGAGTCAACAGGGACATCGCTCACAAACACTCTTGGATAAACCCAGGATATCGCTGACACTGATTGATCACAAATATTGTTCAAAAGTTTCTAAATACAACGTTGTGAGCTTTTCTAAAGCTCACAACCAGCTAGAAACTCGGAATGGCACACAAGGGGAAGGTCAAGTGTGTTGAAAGTTGTGCTGCCGAAGAGAAATTCGCCTGCTGCATCCATGGTAAATCGGGAAAAAATGTCCTGGATGTCTATGGCTTGGGAGCTGTTGAATCGGGCAAGGAAACTTTTTACTGTTCGAAGATATTGAAATCCCGGACACGCTCACGGGGCTGTGTTTCATATAGAGAAAAAAGGTAGGTGGAATGTGAGCATCATTGAGGTGAGGGAGACAAACCAAAGAAGGGGCATGTCAAGGCCCTGTGGGCCTTTGCCTCGACACCGTCCACTCCAAATACCCCATCACCAAACGACCCTTGGTCCTATACACAAGGCAGCCAAAGAAAATTGGTCATAAATAATTAGGCAAAGGCGAAGCGAAGGCTCGGAGGGGAATGTAAAGTGGAGGGACTTTGATATCTCAAAGCTGGCCACATCTCCGACTCCGGGCTGACAATCCCCGATGAGGAGACCCGCCCAGAGGATCTTAAAGTCATCAGCCCCTTACTCCATTCAAGATGCATGCTTTGGGAGCCTTTTGTTAGAAGGGCAAGACCTCAGTATGGCCAACCCCACCGTTCCTCCATCGCCCGACACGTACGAGAGTAAGTTCATTGCTCGAAAACGATGGCCCGCTGAGTCAATTTTGGATACGACACACGGTCTCCCAATGTTTCTTCTCCCAAAATATGAAGATATTATCATCCCAGAGCAGTCAGAATAGTAAGCCGGAAGCTGTCCTTGTTCGTCGTAGCCAGCTCTTAAGTGTGTTACAACTTCATTAGTCCGCCTATTCTTTGGGACTTCTACACCAATATAACGTACGCAGGAAACTCCATCCGCACAGCGCTGTTTGCTAATTTGCCTTGTTACCAGACGACCGGATGCACTATATGATAACGTAGGGGACTCTCATGTATTCTCCTCACGCGCGATGTTGATGGAACAAAACGAAAGTAGGCTCTTGGGATGACAGTCACAGATCATTGCCAATGTTCTCTCCCTCTTAGGCAGCAGTCCCAGTCCGATGCAAAGTATACAACCAGAGTACCTGGAAGACTGTGACACTGAGGGAGAGCCAGATCCTTGGTGTGAGCCGTCATGCTCCGTGCCCGGCCCATTCCATTAGCCCAAGGGACCCAAGGGACCCCAGTAAGCTCCTATGGGCGTTCAGACGCGAGCTTCCAGTTCGTCAACCCTCCAGACAACAGGCTGAACGGTCCTTCCGCAGATTTCTCTGACCTACCTTCCATTCCTCGAGCGCTATATGCCTATGGTGTTAAGAGAGATACAAGGCTACGGGAATAAGCTCAAACGATCGCCGGCCATGCCCATTATGCTCTGGCGATTTCCATAAATCGAGATCAACGTCATCGTCGAAGGAACACGATTGGAGGCATCTCCAGCAGGTACATCTCAAGAACGATGCAATCTCGTACATTGCAAGAAGCCAGCCAACTCGCGAAGAGCATAGCGAGATAAGGGCTTTCTACTGGGTGTACGGCGAACATCGATCGGATGAACCAATCATCAGCACGATCGAGGAAAGCAAGGTGCATTACCCTAGGTTGATGGCATGACTTGAATCTTTCGCCCCCCGGTGGGGCCATTTTATCTGTCCATCATGCGACGCGCCCATAGGGCGCGATCGGGCCAAGGATCGCCACCCTTCCGGCCATTGTAACGGGAGAGGCTCAGCTCCGCCTCCTCCATAACTTACGCCATGGCCCCTGCACCCTATGGAACTCGATGGACAAACTGCCAAACGTCCCCGCCCCTCTCCAACCCTCGATGGTGACGGTTACGCCCCCCTCACGGAAGAAGCCGTGCAAGCGAAATTGAACTTCCACGTCACCGCAACATTAACTTCCCGTTGCCGGGTATAAGCGAGCTTGTGTAACAAAGAGACAGATATATCCACCCCCAGACCCCTAGCTGATAGGATAGCGATCTCTTTGTTACATAAGCTCCCTTATACCGGGCAAGGATCTCTCGAAAAGCACTTCTTAAAGTTAATCATAGAGCGAAGTATTCTCTTGGGCAGTTGTGTAGATTTGTTCATGACGCTTCGTACTTATTGGTGGAATCATGATCTTACCACTGGCACTTCACGCTGTGCGAAACCTTCGTCTTTGTGTAGTTGCGACCGCCCATGCGAGTTTCAGTTCAAAAGCAACTTAATCAAGTTGCATATGCGCAAGCGCGCGTCCACCAGCGACGGCAATCGAGTACGAGTCTGACCGCGCCGGTTTAGGATCACCCTCCAGAAACGGTCGAACACAGCCCCTCTTCTCTTGCAGTTCTGCCTAATTTGAATCGCTGCTCGCATGCTCTCCCACTGACGCCGTGCTTCTGAGTCCTCAGATAGGGGCACGCGTGCCTAGGTGCTCAACATCCATCTCTGCGGTGTCCAGAGCTTCACGCTAAGAATGCCTGGTCGATCTGGAGAATCACACTCCTACAAAATTCCTATATTGAAATCTTCAGATCAGAGGCATCTGTTTAGACACCAGCCCAGGTGTTTACGCAGGCACGCGCTGAGTATAACGAGTGCATGAGTTTTTGTTCCCCTGGTATTTTTTGTCGAGCAGCAGATTTCTTTGGCATTACTTTTCTTCGCCTCTCTTATTACTCAGTTCTGGAGCTGTCCCTATGTTGCAATTGGGCCGGGGCCCAGAGGAGCTATTGCATGCAGGAAAGCCAGGAACCGCCCATAAAATTCTCGTCGCTTGGTCACCAATCTGAGCTCCCCTCCCCCCTTGAAAGTCTGTGGCTAAATAGTGGCAGCATTGTACTGGCATCACTCCATACACTCACGCGCAGCAAAGATTAATCTCAAGGCCCCCATGCGTCCACATCCCACTTATATCAACCATTGACACCCATGGAAGAAATTAACGGAATGTTCTTGCCTCCAATTCCTGATACGGTTAATATCACTAAATTCCGAACCTGCCAGAAGACCAGAACAGCCCTCAGTACACCATAACGTATGTTATTGGAGCTTCAGGAACGACTTACCTGCCTGTGCTGCCCATAACGTTAAAAGGGACATAATATTATTCCCGTACAGCTTCAATGGCGTGTCAGCGCGACGATCATTTGAGTACTGAGTCAATGAGTCAAATGTCCTGTCCTTCAGCCCTGGCTGCAGCAGCGGTATTCGCCGCAGTTTGTTTGTTTCCTTATATCTGGGCCCAGTCGAAGCCGGGAGATGTCCAAGAAATGTAAATGTTCAAGGGAAAGTGTCGTGTGGGAATGCACTCGGAATAGTGTGATTTGGGATGCTCGTTCGGAATGGTTCAATGTCATACGAAACGAGCAGTCCCAAATGTGCGTGGCAGTAGATGACAGCTCTGCTAAAGATACCCCCATGAAAGTTCCACTAGATCGGCTCAGTTCAATCATGTTGAAAACAGAATAACCCGCCAGATACCAGCTCCTCCGTGACTCGGGACGCTCAAGACGAGATCCAGGAAGCTCCTCGTCGTGACAATACTCGGAATGTTCAAAGGTGTAGTAGGTTCATTGTAGAATACGAGCACAGTGGCGGCCTGTGTTCTGCCTGCATATTTATTGGACACAGGGAGAACGTTGGCATTAGGATCGGTATGAGAATCGACTATGGCGTCTGCGAGCCTGTTCCGGAGTAAAGGATTGACCCTGTGGCGGCGGTTTGTATCAATACAAGGAATCCCTTGCACAAGCTGAGTCAGCAAGATAGGCGCCCAAATTTGGCCTCGAGGATAGGTCGTCAAAGTAAAAATTCCTTGTGGAGAATGTTAATCATGAGACTGATGTTGGGGCGAAACCAGAAGAGTCTCATGAAATTATTGTAACCACCCCGAAGTCAGACCAACGCCTCGATGGGAATGCAGTATAGTAACTCATCCTTTAAGCCGAAGAAAAGATCAGAGAACGTATAATCCGTGACCTCGATGACTCTTCCACTCGGTGGAATGTGCTCGAATGCGGCGACAGAATACACCGTTAACCCATGAATATCCCTCACAACAACAGACGGATCGGTTAGGTATCCACAGTCTAAACAACGTGTCGTATTCCCACCGAGCGTTAACCCAGTTGCGCCAATTCCAGATACACGTCCGCCAACGACATTGACATGATAAGGCTCAAGAGCCGCGTACAGATCATCCCAAATGACGCGTGTCGGGACATCCACAGAGCTCGTCTCGGGGTGATAAATAACTTTATTGAAACACGTCATGGAAACGAGAACGCTGGTCGTAGACCTGAAGTTTGGAGGAATGGCCACCACATTTCACCGATGCCACACCAACGATCCAGAATTTGCTTCACCAGATGTTGTTCTGCAACACGACACTCACAGAAAAAGGAGATGTAGTCATCTAAATAAGAGGGATAGGCCCTGAGCTTGTTGAATATGACAATGCAAGCATTCAACTCACAAACTCGTACTAAGGAGTTCCGTGTCAAAGAGATATTGACGGCGACCATCATTTTCGGGTAAGTGCAGCTCAATTTTGTGTCCATCGAGGTCAGGCACGACGGTCAGGGTGCCAACTGACGTTCATTGTTTTTCCCCTTTCGGAACGAAGCGAGGAGATTTCTTGGTGTGTGAATTGTTGGACGAATGGCAAGGGCACAACGGACGATTTGTTTCCCGTATTGGACTTGCACATATGGGACGGATACAGTACTCTCGGGACAGGTACTGATTCGAAACCATCAAGAAACCATTACCCCGATTGATCCGTCGGCAAAGTTATACCACCCACTGGTGGCAAGGTCATTTGCCTGCCTCACCACTAGCCTACAAGAGTGGAACGCCCCTAGGGTCTATTCGGTACCCAGAGACTAGTTTGTTGAGAGGCAAAGCAAGGGATCTCGCTAGTTGGTCTTGTTTCTTAGGTGAGCGATTCGGTTGTGACGAATAGCTGGTGCTGCAGGCTGACTCAGATGTCGGGCTAGAGCCATTGTGTACAACCGCTAGGACGCACATTATGAGTGTCAGTCGAGAAATAGTCGAAGTACTGCAAGCTCTGACGCATTTAGCTCTTTTGCTTTTGGGTGCTTACGCCGCAGGTAGGTGTATCCGTGGTCATAGGACTCTGAAAGCACCGCATCCCGTTCGATCTGCGAAGTTAAGTGGGGTACCGCTTGGTTAGTACCATGGTAGGGGACTACATGGGAATCCCGAGTACCGCGGTTCTCTTCCTCTTTTTTCTTTTTCCTCTTCGTATTATCATCTTCACCAATACTACAGTGGATTAGGGTGCCGGGAACGCTACAATTTTGGTGTATTCTCAACCGCGATTCAATCCGCCCGAGAACTGCGGAAGCCAAACCCACGAAACAGTTGAGTTCACGCAGCACATGTACAGCCAAATCCCCTCAGCTGCATATTGAGTTATGACGGAGCATGTGCATGATGCAGGTAATGCTGTTTTCTATTCCAAAATTACATGAGCATTATCGCGTCATACGCCAGTCTCCAATCCTCTCCCCAGTGGGTTGCAATTGAGCGTATCCACAGTCCGCGGAGCGATGGTGGAGTGAGAAATGTGAAAAAAAAATCACAGCAACTGCTTGAAGAATGACAAACTCAGGCGGGGTCTCAGCCAATGGCAACGTTGATGGTGAACAAGCATGCAAGGCGAGAGAATAGCGGGATCTTCAGGCGGCGTTCCCCAATTATTGATACTGGAAGAAGGGCCCCAACATGGTCGAGGCGCCGAGGGCGCTTGCTGCCAACAGAATCCTCTAATCTGTTCCCAAGCAGTGCGAGCTCTTCTGGCTTGTTCATGCCTCGAGTTTACGGTTCCATGAACTCCAGCATACAAGTCAGGATTTCTTCCTGGCTCATGATGCATCCTGTCTGGCTAACTAGTAGGCTTGGATGGACAGATGAGCGCGAGTACTATCCCAGTGATTTCCCACGGGGAACACAGTCTGAAGCGAAGCGCTGCGTCATGAGGAAGGCTTCGGTATTGAATGTCACGAATCATGTCACCACATTCACTCTGTCACTTCAATCCCAGAATTTCCAACATCGACGATGACCACTGTACCACTCGATAAGTTTGATCCTAACAAAGCCGAGAATTTGGATGAGGTATGGCGCCACTCCCTTGTGTGGTAACTGAAATAACTCTATCTAGATCGAAAAACAATTCGCTGTCGTTGCGGTCCAGCATGCTGAAGTATGATCGATATTCAACAAGCTGCCTTTGGCCACCCTGAAAGCTTCTGACCGACGCAGCGATTTAGATATACTGGAGGATCTTGAGGAAGCCACCCCAGTCAATACGTTTGACAAAGTGAGCCAAGTCGCAGTGCAAAGTGTGACCAATGAGTCATGTTTCTGCAACTTGTCAGGATCGACGATGCTATATTCGAAGCATTCAGAGAGGGGTTCCCAGAGTTATTCGCTGATACGAAGCAGATTGAGGTCGTAGACGAGGACTCGATGAAGAGCCCAGGTAATAAGACGCGATGGAGAAAATGGATCGAACAGTGAGTGGTGATATAACTTCATTCCTCGCCCAGCTTGAGTGCTTTTGACGACTCAGGTTTAAAGACAAGGTGCAGGACTACAATTTTGGGACACTGTTACGTAGGGACGCTCGCGTCGAATATACCGAGGACAACACAATATTCGGTGATACACTCCTTCAGAACACATCTGATCTTTTTTTACTTATCCCCTTTTTCAGTCGTTCGCATGCAGGTTGGGATATTACATCCTATTAGTTATCTCCCGTATGCTAACAGCTTCGATCCTCCCGACAATCCACTGATTTACTAAAGTTCCTGGCATTCGAGGTATGGCGCTGTAAAGACATTTCATTACGATAACTTACTTCCCTGTCACAGATCGCTCGGAATCGCATGACTCTGAACGATGAAGCACACTCCAAGGCAAAGGCGGAGGCATCGTAAATGACTTATTCTGGCATCTCCAGCTCTTCCCGCATGCCACATAATTGTTTCTTTACACGTCACTCGTGGCCTTTTTGTATTGAACAGTGATGTTACTCTCGTGTACTCCGCACACGCTCTATGAAAGTGGGATGGTTGCCTAGTTATTCGCATTGACTAGGAAGTTCACGACACCGGTGTGATCTTGTGTGACCGATGACGTGAGCAAGAGTCAGATTGCGATAAATACCCAAAGCTCACGCACTTCCTGCGAGCACTCGCCTTCCTCAGCTTCCTCAACAGCAGTGGTAACCATGGCTGTATGTTATATCCACTAAAGAGCTGCTCTTGGTGGTGTTGGACACTAACTGCTTGTCTAGTACAAGCTCCCAGATCTTCCTTACCCATACAATGCTCTCGAGCCTTTCATCAGCGAGGAGATTATGACCTTGCACCATAAAAAGCATCACCAGACCTATGTCAACGGCCTCAACGCCGCAGAGGTGTCGATCGCCACCGCTCCTTCATTCAAGGAGCGTATCGCTCTCCTTAATGCTCTGAAGTTCAACGGAGGAGGTGAGAGCCCCAAAACTTCAAAGGGAAAGGCTCTACTTGACGTTTTATTATTTCCTCCTGCCTCCCTTCAACTCTCCTTGTATCCACTGCACCCAATGGCAACTCATCGGCCGATCGGCGATCTACTCGTCTCGATCGTTGAAATGAATCATGACAAACAGGCCACATCAACCACTCCTTGTTCTGGAAGAATCTTGCGCCAGCTAACCAAAGTGCTCTCAAACCAGGCCCTCTGAAGGACGCAATCGACCGTGACTTTGGCGGTCTTCAAAACCTTCAGAAGGAATTTAATGCCACTACTGCCGGTATTCAAGGTTCCGGATGGGGGTGGCTAGGATACAATGCTAAGACCCAGAGGTTGGAAATCGTTACAACGGCGAATCAGGACCCACTTTTGTGTGAGTATGGAGTCGTCTTTATATTTGTCTGCCATTCGATCGGTGGCAGAGCTGACATCGTTGTCTGGCTGTTTAGCCCACGCCCCGATTATTGGAGTTGATATCTGGGAGCATGCGTTCTACCTCCAATACAAGAACGTTAAGGCAGACGTGCGTGAACTCGATCGTCAACTCCCCCATCATCTTCAAATTCCTGATTCATTTTCCGCACTCAGTATTTGGTTGCCATTTGGAACGTCATCAACTTTGATGAGGCGGAGAAGCGTTTCATTGATGCTATCAAGGCTGGTGCTAAAATCTAAGTTTTTGCGAACACTTAGCTGCTCCTGGTTCCTTCACTTCCTTCGAATCTTATTCCTCACGCGTGAAGGTTGGCCAGTACGAATGAACTATATTTGTAGCCACTTCGTATGCTTGAAAACCAGCTCTGTTGTACTAACATGTCAAAATGAAAATACGTTTTTGGTTGATTTGCTGATCCAGTAGCTAGTCTGGCGATTCAAGCCATGGTTTGCTTTGATGTCTCCTGGTTGGGGAGAAACATCAAAGGTTGTAGTTATAGGGCTGTAAACACCGACTGCGGGTCCAGTAGGGGTGGTTGTTGACATCGACGTCGTCGACGGCAAACTCCAGGCCACCCACTACTCGTCTGCATTTCAGCCGATATGGACGAACCACCCGTCCCTCAGCTCTTAACAACACTGAGTGCGCCCGCCGCCGATGGAACAAAACGCAAAGCCATGGAAATTGGTGCACCAGTACAGTACGCTCAATCCTCTCGGAAGGGAAAGAAAGCATGGAGGAAAAACATAGACCTTAACGACATCGAGGTCGGTCTGGAAAGCATGCGGGAAGAGGAGAGAGTAACAGGGTATGTACAAATGAATGGTCTGGGGTTATTCTCCTCGCGCTAATTCACCCTCCTCGCAGAGGGATGCTGCAACACCGCACAGACAATGAGTTATTTACTGTGGACGTGACGGGAGATGAACAAGGTGCTTTTCTATTCGGATATTTTATATTTCGCTTGAAATGTTCTTACGCGAGCCCCCCCCCCTCCAATGCAGTCCGGGAGCGAGTGCAGAGAGTTAAGAAGCCCTTGCGATCTCTGCAAATCCTTCGACAGCGTTCAGCTGTGCCTGCCGTTAAGCTTCCCAAAAGGGGTTCCAATTCGAAGGGCTCGCGGCTGACAAAATCGGAAAAAGGGAAGATATCAAAAAAGGCACAATGGATTCGTGGTGCTACGGGGGAGAGTGGGGATTTGGTCATCGAGGCGCCGGCCATCGTAAAATATGATCTTTGGGCAACGGCGAAGAGTGGTGAAGAGAAGTTGGAAGGAAATATCCCAACGGACGAAGCTCGTGATTACGTGATCCCAGTTGTGATACCGAAGGCACTAAAGGTTGGTTTGGAGACACCGTTACACTATTCCCCTTTTTTCTGTACTTATGGGCGTGTCCAGATGCCAGGCTCTATTCTTCCCTCGAGATACATTCAAGCCAAAGCGGTAGAGATGCCCCACCCTGGCGCCTCTTACAATCCTACTCCTGACGCGCACCAGTCCCTCCTTCAAAGTGCGCACAACATTGAGCTGGCACGCCTAGCGACCGAGGAGAAAGCCCGTGCACAGAACGAGAAAGCACGGGCGATGCACGGCCTTCGGGCTGAGAAGGAAGATGGTGTGACTGTGTTCAGAGGCATGAAGATTGATGTCCCAGGGGAAGGGAACACTGAGCAGGAGGAGGAGGCCGTGGAGAGAAGCGATGCTCCAGTTCAGAAAGTTACAAAGCGAAAGACAAAGGCTCAGCGAATCAAACAGTCCCGTGCTTTGTCGAGGGTGAGTTGGATCGTACATTTCTTGATGTATCGTCTGTTCGCTCATCACTGATTACTCCATGTCGCGATTGGCCATGTCGATCGTTTGGGTCAACCTGCACTAGAGACTACTTGTAGCGGAAGAAACTCGCAGGAAACAACTGGAGAAGGGGTTCCGCGAGCTATCGGGTGTTGCTCAGGCAGCCGACAAGGCTGTCGCTGCTCATCGGAAAGAGGTTATTGAGTGGATGAGGACGAAGCGCTTGGAACGGCCAAAACCTCTCATTGGGAAGATGGTGGGGGGACATAAAGTCAAGGCACCCGAAGTGGATGTAAAGTTGACTGAGGAAATCCCAGAGAATCTTAGGACTTTAGAGGTATTTCTGACTGTCCCTATCTCCTCCCCCCCCCTTTGCACCGACTTACATTTTTATCGCCTGTTAGCCCGAAGGGAACTTGTTCCGGGATCGCATCCTCAGCTTGCAAGCTCGATCGCTGCTCGAGCCAACCGGACGAGCCTCGTACGTCTATTTTCCATGGTTTACGGTATCATTTGATTGATCGCTCTCCTCTTTCGTCCAGGCTGAGAACCCGTGTGAAACATCCGAAGCTCAAGCTGTTCGAAAAGCGTGCTTGGAGGGACTTCAAGTGACGACACCTTTCATTTATTGAATTTTGTATTAGAATTTTCGCATCAAGCCATACTTATCATTATTCACTATCGCGTCGTGCATGCATTGCGGCCTTTTCCTGCTGGGCGTCAGTCCTAGGAAGGCCATCGATGTTATTATAGGCAAGGGCGGCCAACTTAAACCTCCCATGCAAAAATTGGTGATGGGAGCTGTTTCACCTTTTGTTGCGAAGAACCATACGGCCAGTCTTCTTTGGGGACCTTGTTCGCCTCGAGCCTGGCCTGACGGTCAGACTATCGCTGGATTTAACACAGGACTCCAGCCCGTCACTAATGACCATCCCCGCCGTGCTTCCCTCATTATGCCCAAGACCGGCCAGCTTCTTGGGGTTTCCCTGCTGCCAGACTGGGGATTGCGCGAAGGGTATGGTGTTTGGTGTTAAACCCCCCTCACTCAGGGGATCATTCGTTTGGCGCTTTTAGGAAGAGGGCTATTGCGACAGGAAACTCAAAGAAGATCAGCGATGTAACTGTGGATTGCTCAGCAGGAGCGATCGATCTGCTATTTTTTCACAGCAAGGATGCTGGGAACTATACCTTTCCTCAGGCACATGCGATTTGCCTGCACTGGACATTTGATTTTGGTTTCAGGGTTGCTTTTATATTTCGGTCTTCTTCTGCCACAGGTCGATCGCGCTCCTGTGAAGCTGCACGGGGTGGGAAAGGACCGGGGTTCTCTCCCATCCCAACAACACCCCATTGCCGTCACCGTCCTCCAAGCTATACGACTCTCTCGATCCGCGTGATCGAACCCCAGTACCCCTAGCACTACCGATTGAGTCCACTTGACTTGCAGAAACTTTTTCGAGTCCCGTCAAGTTAGTATTACAATCCAACCTCTAAACCCGGTCTCCGGGAATGATCGACGGTCATCTGAAAGATCGTGAATGAGATATCTCCGTGTCTGATGGCATCAGCTGGGTTACATGGGGTCAGGGTGCGGTGCTCACTGGACAGCCAGTGGGGGCTGCGTCAGACGTCACGGGAGCGCTTCGGTCATGTTTGGTTAGCACCGCCATACTTGACCTTGCTCAATGCGAAACAGGCTAAGCCAAGCATTGATCGTCACTGTGGCAGGAACAGCCTCTGTTATCAGTGGCCAGTACTGTATTATACATTTTCTCTGTGCTGCTATCATTTTGTCTAAGTGGGAGGAATTTACTCAAGTGTCAGATGTGCCTCCTGTGGTTACCCGTCGCCTCATGATCATTTGAGACCCAGCGGCCAGGGGCACCGAAATTGACACGGACATGAAGCAAGGGGTCCTCATCTTGGCTGCCTGGTATCACTCTTCCGTTTGTGACTGACAGTTGGCATGCTGTGTGCACCCGCCCTCATCTCGGCGTTTGATACTGCCCCTTTGCTTTTCGAGTGGCAGGCAGTTGGCATGCCCGTGTACCTCCCGGTCCCTTGTGTGCACTGCGTTGTCGATCATTTCTGCAATGACACGTGCAGGATGTGGGGGGGGAGCCTATAAATGGCGGGCTTGTTTGGAGCTCCCTGGACCCATACTCATACTCCATACTCACCTCGCACACTCACACTCATCCAGAAGCACAATGAAGTTCCTTCTCTTTGCATACACTGGGTTGGCTGTTTTCAGTTCGGCACTCGCTGCTGTGGTACCGAAGACGCACTTGGTAGGCGAAGAGTTGTGGAGTAATCTGTGCAATTGCTGACTATCCCATTCTTAAGGTCAATGTTGGGCCTAACGGTCAACTTGTCTACGATCCCCCTTTTATCGTGCGTGTCAAGTCATAGCTTCGCTACGGCAGCTAGAATGTTTTACTTTTTTTTCCTGACGTCCATTCACCTACGACAGTTCACGAACAAAGGAGATGTAGTGAAATTCATCTTCCATCCGAAGAACCATACAGGTACGGTTTGCACGCTACTTTCTCCCAACTTGGATTTTTCGCCTGAAGAAGTTTCGTTTTGTCCACGCCACGTAGTGACCGAATCGTCGTTCGACTCCCCCTGTTCGAAACTCAAGGACTCGCATGGACGCAACATTGGGTTTGACTCAGGCTTCCAGCCCGTGAGCCCCATCCATCCCGTGGAGAAGGTCGTCTCGGTCCGTGTCTTGACGAAACAACCATTGTGGTTCTACTGTCGCCAGACCGGCCATTGCAGCAAAGGCATGGTGTTCGCGATCAACCCTCCCACGAGGGGAGCTCATACCTTCGATGCGTTCAAGAAGAAGGCGCTCGCTACGGCTGGTGGTAAACGGGATGACGAAGATGCCGATCTTGAAACACCTCATTTGGACCCCATTGACTGAAATTCGTGGCCGCATCCTTCCAGTACTGATGGTTTCTGAGCTTAACGCTCCACGTGTCAAGAGCAGTTACGGACGCATTTTTTTTTGATGTACTATAAGCTTGTTAGACTTGTTTGATTGACAATTTATGTCTCTGCTCGGGGGGTATCAACATCATCCCGAAGCACCCTGAAGTTTTAAAAGAATTTGTGTGTGATCTTTAGATCCAACTGCTCAGTCGAGCGGGAGAGATGAGCGTTGTGATTTTCATTCCTTTGCGCATATCGATGGTCCTAATTCACTCACCGCCGCCCAGGGTCACTCAGAATCACTGATATTGGGCCTGGAGAGTGTATATTAGTCGCTGCATGAGATCAGGAGTGCCCCTCAAGCCGTTCCGCCTGCTGGCGGTGATTTGATTGTCATTGTTATGTACATGCTTCATGATCGAGGGTGGGTCAAGTTGGCTGTGGACCAGGCGATGCCTCACAAATGCGGTACACTTAGCGCATGTCCCAGAACGGACCCACCTGGGCGACGCCAAGAGAATAACATTAGAGGGTGCAAGCCTGTAATACGCCTGGTTGAAATTACAGTAACTCGATCAAAGTTTCGAACCCTGATCAAGGCGAGAATTATCCTGTTGCGTCAATTAGGGTTGGGGTTGCCGAACTTCGGCGATCGCCGGCTCAGTCTCTTTGTGTCCGCTTCTGTCTGGGAAATTGTTGGGAAAGCTGCCAGCTCCCTTTTATGTAGTAGAGCGAATAGCGAGCTATGCGTGCCTTACCGAAGTTACGTAAAAAGTGTCACTTTGGATGACGTGTTCCTTCTCATTACTCATGTGGCCTGCTTCTCACTTTCGTCCTTTCGTTCAACCATACAAGTCTTTCATCTGTGCTTCACATGGAGTCTTTATGTAAAAGGAGTAAGGCTTCCTCTCAACGGAGTTCCCCTCTACATAGTATAAGACGAAATGTTGGACTAGCGAGTTTATCGCTCAGTCCCGTTGTACGTGAACTAGAATAGATTAGAAAGTAATCACCTAGCGAGTTTATCGCTGGTGGACTAATGTTTAATACATGATTTATCAAAGACAAACATGATATAACCAACATACCTCAGTCCCGTTGTACGTGAACTGAGGAAAGGTTGGGTTGTCCAAAAATTGGGGTTTTATAGTCAGGCGCTATGAATGCGCACTGACTTTGGCACGGATGTCACCAAGAAAGGTAATAGGTGTAAATCTAAACGCCACACGACTCAACATCACCAAACGTGAGTTGGTCATAGCGAACACCATAATACCAAGAATTCTAACACATAGCAGATGCGAAAGCACTCTAGTTGCCGAATTTTGAGTTGGTGAATGTAATTGAGTGGCAAGCACAGCCGGGTCGGATGCAGAAGCGGTGGAGCAAATATTGTTGTTTGCATCATTCAGTTCAGTGCCACCGTTGCATATATTGCTGACTGCGCTCGTTGTTTCTATTCTGCCTGAGACTGCATACCCCTTGGACACCACGTTCTTTCCTCTCTGCATCGTCTTTAAGTACTACTGCCATAACCTATCAGTGGCCTCTATACATTGCCTCATTATCGTCGTATCTTAATGCACTCCGTCCTCACTCTTGCTGCCCTTGCCTTGGGGTTCCATCCTCTCGCTGCTCGTGCGGCAACTTACTCTCTTGCACAGTCATATCAAGGGAACTCCTTGTACGTCTTTTTCTTCTTCTTACGCATTGTCGTACCCCGGCGAACTGCAGGTGGTGACCTTCCTTGACGTCTCGTGTAGCTTCCAAGGTTGGAATTTCTCGACAGCTCCCGATCAGAATTACGGTTATGTCACGTACGGAACCACCCTCTCTACTTGTACAAATGCCGGGACTTATTTGATCTCGCTACGCAGTTTCCAGAGCCAGGCCAACGCCGAGGCTCAAAAACTCGTCTATCTTAACGACAAAGGGAACGCTGTGATCAAAGTCGACAATGTTACCGTTGGTCAACGTACGTCTCATTCAGTTCTCACACCTCATCTCCTATCTGATCCCCGCATCACGCTCCCATCCTCATGCACACCGTGATCTCCTGTCGTCATTCAACGCTGTCTCCAACACGTGTATCGTGGTCGTCTGGGTAATTGGGTCATCGTGGCCGCGTTCAGCTGCGGACACGACCTTTGGTCGTAATTCGGTTCTTATGACCTCTCTGGCCCAGATTCAGGTTGGGTCCTTGGTTTTATTCGACGCTCTACATATGCCATATGGGGTAAGTAGCGATCAAAGCACTAGATAGTTACGATTTGCTGACCCTAATTCCCTCCCGGTAATGTTAGTGTTCCGTTTGGCCTGCATTCTACCTCTTAGGTCAAAATTGTACGTCTCACACTTCATGTGGAACTGTTATTAAAAAACTGAACACCCTGAAGGGCCTAATAATGGAGAGATCGATATCGTCGGTAAGGTTCCTTCTCGAGTGACCCGAACGAACTTTATATTATGCGGTTGAAACTAATTCATCCTCCAATGGTGATGGAATATCATTTTCAGAGAATGTGAACCTTGCGACATCGGCTCAATATTCTTTGCACACGCTATCTGGGTGCCAACACCCGAGCGGAAAAGGCAACGAGACGGGCGTTATCGTCAGCAGTGAGTGGCCATCTCTGACTTCCAGCCCAACGTTCTTTATCGTTGTTGAACTCTTTCTTTCTTTTTATTTTTTTTTCCCATCCCTTGTATATATTTGTCCTTTAGCCGACTGTTTCAACGCGACGAACGGAAATCAGGGTTGCATCGTTCGCGAGAGCCAGCAGAATAGCTTTGGTCAGGGTTTCGCTACCGTCGGTGGGGGAGGATTCGCGACAGAATTTACTTCGCAAGGGATCAAAGTGTGGTTCTTCCCTGTGAGTCAAATCTTATCTTATCTTTGGCTTTCCTTGGGGGGCAAAGGGACTTACGCGTGGACTACATGGATGTCGGTATTTTAGCGCTCAACTTTGCCCAGCGATTGGAATAGCACGTCACCCAACCCTGATAATTGGCCTACTCCTTCTGCTTATTATCCTAGTTCGTCATGCAACATCACGCAGTTCTTCGGACCTCAATCTATCGTGCTCGTGCGTTAATGTATTTCGTCCACCAGAAGGTTGAGAAGCTGACAGAATTTTTTTTTACTCATTGGACGTTATTCAATAACATACATTTAGGATATTGATATTTGTGGTGCCTTTGCTGGAGCTTCAAACGTCTACAATGCGGGCGGACTTTGCCCTGGTCAATGTGTGGATGTCATCAAGGATCCTAACACGTATAACAGCGCGTACTTTGAGATTCAATTTTTAAAAGTGTTCGCGCAGCCGTACGTCTCTTCTCTTCCTCTTCGTCTTTTTACCTCATGGTTTCTTTACTGCGTGTGTAGTGGAACGAGCACGGTCTCCAGTAAACCCACGTCAACTGATTCGTCGACCCCCTCCAAGAGTGGAAACGGTGGAGGTGCAGCAGGGAAGAATTGGGGTCATGTCGCTGGTGTGGCTACGTTATCGCTCGTCTTTGGTCTTGCTGGGATGTTTGCAACCTTGTTCTGAGTACGGAGGGGGGGGGGGGAGGAGAGAATGAGATAAGGGAGAGAGACTGGGAAGTACGATACAGTTGGAACTGGTCTACCGAGTCTCCGCAAGTATAATTGTTGATGGGTTAGAGAGATGGTACCGATAGCTTTTTACAATGTCTTGGACTTTTCCCTCTTTTTCCTTTTGTCGCGCGTGGCGGTCGGGGGGGTGGCCGGCTGAAGTCTATTCATTTCACCCTAATCGTTACTGTGTTGGACTCGTTTTTTGGATTTCCATCTGTAGCGGTATATAGCTAAGAACTGGACAATGCGATTTAAATAACAGCACCATTTTAATTTTAATTTTTTTGCGCTGATGAATACGGACGCAGTATGGTGTCAATCGATTGAATTGTCTGACAACTTACATAAGCATCTCCCCGCCGTCTTGATCAGTAGTTGGACGGTCTCTACTGCGATTGGCTCCGATTTTTGACCCTGTACGTACGAACCTTGTACGGTTGTTGTGGCACTGAAATCCACACGATGTGAGCCTTGAATTCGACACGGGAGATGGGCACTTAACTAACCGCTGGGGCCAAGCTAGCCCACAATCCATTCTGCTAGGGGCTGGGACTGTCTATATACTTTGTTTTCAGGCTGGGACGTTTGTTTTTTTGGTTTGGTTTGGTTCGATGTCGCGACGTTTTATACACGCTTTCAACGTGTTCACATTGCGAAGACCGTTCCTTGCACCTGTGATCACTACTTTTACTCTGTTTGGTGCGGGGGATGTCCTGGCTCAGCAAGGGGTCGAGAGGAAAGGAAAGGATCACGATTTTTTGCGGACAGCGTGAGCCTTTTTCTTTGTTTTTTTTTTTTTCTCATCGCATAGTACCTTGCTGAAATTTACCGACCATGTATATTGTAGACGGCTTGCTAGCTATGGTGGATTCATGTAAGGAGCAAAAAAAAACTATGTTGCTGGGGCCAGCTGGAACTTTCGATGAAAACTCTCCTAGATTTGCACCCATTGCTTCGAAATGGTAAAAATAACCGCGTCAACCCTCAGCAGCCGTATCATTCTCATCATGTGTTCTTCTCTCCCCCACCTATATGTATCAGGTATAGAGTAAGTGGGTACTACGCTGTGTAAAGTCTCCGAGTCGCGAGTTAGCTCATCTGCCTTTCTCCGCTGCAACTGGAATAGCTCCTAGAGCATTTACCTGTCAGGAGCAAACCGGCATTGATTGCTAGTCGAGTGAGTGTCCCCCCCCTCTGCTCTGATCTTGAACTCGCCCTTTTCATTTAAGTATTTCTTAATTTGCACCCTCTTCTCATCAGGTCGCTCTTGATCAATTTGTCTTTTCACCTATTATTGTTGGTGTATTCTTTACGTGCACAACATTGATGGAGGGGAAGACACTCAAGGATGCAGAAATGAAACTAGAAACGGTGAGTTTGTGACGCAGGTTTGGCTTGGGGGTTCACTTTGATCCTGTGGTTTTCTGTTTTCTATCTTTTTTTTAGACATATAAACGGACCCTTGTTGCCAACTGGAAACTCTTTATCCCTTTCCAAATGCTAAATTTGGTAATGCCTCAGTTCCTTTTATGCGCTTCGTGCACTCGTACTGATCATAGCATGTCCTTTTCTGCGATTTGCCTGCTCTTTCTCAGTCAGTAAGTACAAATGCCACATTATAGCGGTTGTGCTCTTTTCAGCTAAGTACCGTATCATAGCTGGTCCCGATGCATCACAGGCTATTGGCTGTTAATGTCGTCTCTTTATTTTGGAACGCTTATCTTTCTCTCATGGCATCAAGTTCGCACATATCTGCCGCGAAACCTGAAGCATTGGCATAGGTGGCCGGATTTCATTAACATACAGACACTTCTCTGTGTAACCAACCGTTATGAATATGGATCTAGATTCTTATGACCCTTGCACACAGGTAAGGAGCCCTAGGTCATTTCCCTATTTGTAAGGTGCAAGCACGATCAGCCCTTACAAACACTGCTAGGTGGAATTCATATGACCCTTTATCTTCCAATGGAGAGCTGGGTCCTGCCTAAGCGCCAACCGTGTTTGCGATTTGGGACCTCCGGTTCCGCTCTCGGAACCGAACCACGGCAGCCCTTGGCATGACAGATGTCACACCATTGCCGAGGACTTGTGAAGATAGCCAGGCAGGCCTCCTTAAGTCTCATCAATGGACATGCGCGCCCAATATATAGAAACAATACATTGATGGCATGAATACTGAGCGGCCACCCGTAAGGTGGTCACGGTGGTGCCTTTGTGGGTTATGGCGAACATCCTGGATGATGCGTAGAGGCACTTGGTTGCTGCCAAGATATCGGTAGCGGTGAATGTGGTTGAACGGCCTAATCTCCATTTTTGGCGGTGCCACTTCGACACGATGATGGGCGCTCGTTTTTTGCTTGAATCATCGAGCAATTGTGTCCGATATGTCCATTAAAATTGGATGCACAGTTTTTTTTTTTGACGGCGGCTGTAATATGCACACAAGGATACGATAATTGGTGCGCGGCATATATAATTAATTAATGTCTTACATAGAACCACTTTTCTCAGTGCTTCCCAAAACCAGGCTAGTCAGCCAATTAACCCACCCTATCAAGGGGTGTTTTTTATGCATTGCGAGGCTGGCATCTCTGTCAAATCTCCACCGATTTGGAAAATCCATTGCTTACAAGTACATACTGTTGGAATTTGTACACGTGGTCTTGGGAACCTTAATGCTAAAATATGGACATTCTGGGAGTCGAACCACAGAACCCTGCATAGGTACCAAGAGTGTGTTACCATTACACTAAATGCCCGCATTAGGTGGAGGTGGTTTCTAACACATACAAGCTCTGGCTAACATTCTGTAAGGAAATGTATAACCTTATAGCTAGGTATCAGAATGAAGAACACACATGTTATGTCGCATGTAAGCATATATATTACCACATTCAAGTTCTAACATGTGTTGTCATGAATATTCACCGAACATGGATTGCGTGGGAAAAGGGAAAAAGTCGACATTCAGAGTCTCTCAGGGGCCTTAAAAATATGACTAATCAGGGCTATCAGGCATTGGTAGCGGGAAACGGCCACAAAGGGCCAGGTGGAATTGGCAGCATGTGCGTGACGCATGACCCGGACCCGTGCTTGTACATACAAAGAGGAAAAAGAAAACAGACGAACGTTAATGGGAGTGACGATAAGAGTTAAGTTGGAAGCAGTGAAAGATAAAAAAGCAAAATACAACACAGAGCTAATGTACAAAGACAATGTAAAAAGATAAACATCAGAACAAAATACAGGACACAGCTAATGTACAAAGACGATGTACAAAGATGTATCAAAAGGAGGAGTGTCGGGGAGGAGGTGGGAGACAAGAAAAGGTAAGGGCTGAAAGCTGAGGCAAATGGGAGTGAAGTCACACCGTGAAAAGTGTTGGCAGTAGCAAGTTCAGGGAGAACAGAGTGTTGGTAGCGGCAGCGGCAGTGGGTCAAAGGAGTAAGCCTGGAACAAACAGGTGGCGAGTTGGATCTCACTCACCGAGGGAGCACGAGATACCAGGTGATAGGGGGGAGGAGAAGGGCCATCAGGGTCCCTTTATAAGCATGGCCAAAGCAAATGAGTGCTCTCCTCAATAGTGAAAGTTCAGTATGTACCTCCACTGAATGGTCCGCTTCACGCATCTGCGCCGAAACATCCAGCATACGTCTGAGGCAGCGTCCCCTGACCCATTCAGGCTAAGTTGCGCGAGAAATCATGAGAGATCACTGCGATCAGTGCTGGGAGGCATGTGAATGCCAGAGCGGTCCCGACAGGATGCAGCCAGGTTTCCCAGCTAGTGGCGAGCGGAAGCGGGAACCTGAGATCAGCTGATGGTAAGTTGCTATCCCATGATTAGTCTCGTGAAATGGAGACATTAAACAACAAAAAAATACCCTGAGTGTCCGTAGAGAATATTATTCCTATAGTACCAAGTTTGAGAGAAATCGATGGCATTTTTGTCAATATATTTGCAAGTTATGCTGATTGATGGCAACACAATGAATAAAGTTGACAATCTCCACAACGGCTGAACAAAATCTCTCCGCTACAGACTAGTTCGACTCATTTTAATAACAGCTTTCCAATGATACAAAATATGTGTAAATCGATGAAGAAATGGGGGAGAAATGGGGGAAATACTGCTGGAGCAGCCTGATATGAAAGAAGGTCGAACTAACTTCTCCTCTCCTCCAGCTTTCCAACAAGCTCAATTTTATTCAAATTGGCCCTGTGGTTCTTGAGGTACCACCATTGACAGGTGCTGTCAAGTTGTCAGGGCACACCCGCCTGACCCGGCTCCACCCGGCCCAACCTGACCCGGTACCCCACTGGTCCACCCCTCCTTACCTCCTCCCCCTTTCCCTTCTTTCCCTCTCATCCTTCCCTCCTCAGCTTCTCCTTATCCTACTCCTTCTTTATTCTCTCTTTATTCTACATGGACGACTTTCTCTGTATCAATGTACCATTGACCCATCTGCAGCGCGCCCACCATGCACCCGGCCCAGGCACCTCGGGCGACTTCCCGCTGTGCCCAGCACGCGCGCCTGCACTGGATGCCCTCGGGATCTCCCACGGAGATACCCGGGTGGTTATGGCTGTGTGCGAGGGTGACGTGGCACCCGTCATGTGATCCAAGCCGCATGTATATAAACGAACCTGAAGTGGGAACCGAAGAAGTAGCCTTCTTCTCAACTTTCCACTTCAGGTAAGTAGTACAATATCCCTCCTTTAATGATAATAACAACTTTCCACTTCAGTCTAAGTGGTCAGGGACCATTGTCCCACATCGGGCCTGTCAGTACGCACGCCCGATCCGCCCCCCGCCAGGCTCTCAGTCCTGGACGCTACACCCGGGCCCCCTCGACCCCGGACGAGTCCCTGACACAAGTCCACATGAGATTCAGCATGGTGTTGAATCAGAATCTCTACTAATATTTGTCCATTCAGCACGAAAATTGGCATGGTAGGAGAGCTAATTGTGCTCTATCGATCGAGCATAAGAACGTTGGGTATAAATATGTAGTTGTGGAGACCGTTGAGTAAGAAGTTGAAAGTTATGCTGTGCATGAGAATCCTGCTTAGGAACTGAAAATGGTTTCAGAAAAATAGAAAAAAATTGGAAAGAGCGAGTAATGTGGGTCGTAAATGGATGTGCGAATGGAGGCAAGACTGGGCCTGTGTGCTGTGTGGGCTACAGTGTAAAATCTATAAAAATAGTTATTTTGTGGTGTATGAACCTTTCCCTGCAGAAACAAACAGAAATAATATACTATGGTAGCTTCAAGAACATTCCAATTGGGTTTAAGAAATGGAAAACATTAATAAAAGAAATTGAAAAGACAGAACAATAAGAAAGTGGCCTGGAAACCCAAACTTGTGTTGGAAGCCTCAACTGCTCCCCATAATGATAACCATTCTAACTTTACACCATTCAACTATACTAATCCTTAGCTTTACAATGCAGTTGGTCTCATTCCAAATGGTGGAGAAATGAGCAAGATAGTATGGGAGGAGCAGGGAATACATTGTGCATTTCCCCTATCTCACTGAATAGTAGTCCAAATGTCCTGAAAGTTTGTGCACTACAATACATGTCCTCAAAGTAGACTTGACATATTTTCTCGTATTTTTTTTTGACATCTGAGAGGCACTGAACTTTGACCTTGCATGTCATTTCCCATGCATGCCACTCCTGAGCAGTGTTGAGTGAACCGAGAATCACACATTTCTCCATCAGTTCTCAACCATTTGCCATCGGGCTTTTTGCGATAAATTCCTCTCAATCGCCTCTTTATTTCGTATTATTACTCCAACTCATGATTCTGCATGCACACAGCTCCAGAAGTGGATTGTGGATTAAGGACATCATTACTTCAACATTTGAATTGAAAGTGAATTGTCAGGACGTCTCAGGACGTCCTAGGATGTTCCCATACAAAAGAGGCCTCTAGGCCCTCTTCAAACATCCTGAGAACCCCCCTCTATAGGTCTAGATATCGGTTGTCCAAGGTGCCCAAAACATCAGTCAGCCAAGCCTGGATCCCCAGGATGCTCAAGCAAATCAGATCCACTCAAAAGGACTTCAAGTGTACTGGCTACTGGACACTTTCTAAAGCTTTATAATAGATGGAATTAATTATATCGTGAAAGTGTAATATAACATGGAAAGCATGTGTGAATGGGCATTGAATTGTTGGACTGTGGATAAAGTCCAGAGATGTAGAGTGAAGATGGGATAGGAGGATGCAAGATGATAATGCGTGAATATTGAATGATGAAATAATGTTAGGTCGGCTTTGTGGAGTTTGCAACGTCCCTGACATCAACTACCCCTCGATTCTGTATCTATGATACACTCTCCTCCTTCGACAAAACCTTACCTGGCTGGTACCTTGAGTGTCTGCTCCGGACCTCTGGACCTCTCATACCATGCCACGGTACTCCTTCTCAAGCCTTCAGCTTGCTCACCAAACAACTCTGATCCCCATACACCTATGGAACTCCACTCCTTGTGTTGTCAAACCTTGAGTTCCTCCCCATGTCAACTCCGAAAGGGATCCTGAGTCTGTTCTCTGACTGTGAGGTCTTAGCAGGTTGCTCAGCACACCAGACTGTAAGTGTTACAATGGTGTGTAATTTATGGTGGTGTTGAGTGGTAACCGGAAGTTGCCGCTTAGCCATGTGACTCTATGTACACCGTTGTTACATCAGACTCGGGGTTCAGGGCTATTGCCCTGACATTCTCCCCCTTTGCATTACATGTGTGATGCATACATGGTTTTAGGAAGGAAGAAAAGAAATTGAATTCAAGGTAAAAAAAATTTTTTCTTTAATGAAAGTTTGTTATTGCCACTTTAAAGTGGGCGATGTGTACATTTGGGAAGAGGATGGGGAATAAGGATGAGGAAGAAAGGAAAATGAAGGGGTGTGGGGCCATTACTTTAAAGTAAACAGCGATACACAGATATCACAGGAAAGGGAGGGAAATAAAAGAAGAAGAGTGTTTTGAAAGTAGATTTCGACCCAAAGATTGTATATCTTTGGTATTCCTCCTCACTTGTTCTGTGAGGAGTCATGTGTAAATGGTGTTCACACATGAGTGGTGGTGGATTTGGGTTAGATGGAGTAGAAATTTCCGCAATTGTTACTTGTGGTTCCTTGCATACAATATTGTGTGCAGGGCCTCAAGTTGGGGGAAGGTGTTTTCACAGGCACCTCAATGGCGTATTACCATGTCACTTTCCCTTTCTTCAAGGGTAGAGTTATTGCCCTGGAGGAGGGTTTTCCTCTGGGTTGTTCATCTGGACATCCGATTGCTGCATCAGATGTGATGATGTAGCCTGGGCTATGGTGTTGAGCTGTGGGCTCGATGAAGTGGGCACTTCCTGGGTGGGAGTGGGTTGTTGTGTTCCCGAGCCACTTGGCTCAGGTGTAGAGTATGGTAAGTTTACCGTTCTTCCCATGGGGAAGGATGGTCGCTGGCTCGTCTGTCCAGTGCGGAGACTTGCATCTCTCTCTCGGTATTTGGAAGCTTTCGCTTCCTGCCCCACAGCTTTTGCAGCGCATTCCTCAGGAGTCCTGAGTGGTTTAAACTGGGACTTCACATAGGCAGCTTTGCCTAGACTTTCCCAGGAGATTTGTCCCCTGTTCTCCAGGGAGCTGTAATCCTCCACGAGTTTTGCAATACTTGGGAGTTCCAAGAAATATTTCTCAGTTTCCTTCACTTTTTTGTGAAGGACTCTGTGTACCTTGCCGCTTTTAAAGGTGGCTT